GACGTCCTTCCGCATCAGTACGTGAGGCGTCAACTAACAACCAGACTGCTTTGGCCCTACGGAGTATTCATACAGTACTCCGTACTCCGTGCTAATTCTCAAACCTGTCAGCCCTTGGGTGCATTTGTATGTACATACATACAGACGCTTGGGTTGTTGGGCAGAGCACGGCGGCAGGACCCTGATTGCTCCTAAACATAAATTGAAAGAACAGAATGCTCGGCGTATCGAGTGCTCGCTCATACGTTCGTTCATACGGGCCATGCGTGCCCAGGCAAGGCCCCTTTGGATCGCCCGCGTCAGCCCAAATTCTGATTTTCCCATGCGGGCAGGTCGACGGACAGTGCAGACGGCCAGAGATGCACTCATGCACTGCAACTCTAGGGGCGCAGCAGAAGCGGCCACGAACGCTGGAGAGGGCGAGGGAGGCAGAGGGAGCGAGAGGGAGAGGGGCAAATCCGGCACCCTACGAAAACCGCATGCTCGTTGCAAGAATTGCATCTTTGCCCCTCTCGACGGATCTTAGTAGGGCATTAGCGCACGGATGCGTTGCAAAGGCCAATTCAGTGGAAGGGGGGCCAAAGTACGTCAAAGTAGGTACTGCCCATGTTGTGCCGTGGGTTGTCGACGTAAGTACTCGCAGTTTCGCAATGTACCGCGGCCGCCGTCGTCAAGTACCTGCCGGCGCGGTGTTTTCTCGACTCTGCGCCGCCGTGTGATTGGCTTGCGCCGCACAAGAGAGTTGTGGCTAGGGCGCTCTAGCTTACTCGTGCCCGTGCATGTGGTTGCACTCCAGATGTTGCCCGCGGACCAAAGAAGAAGCAACACCGGGCACGGCGGAGTACGAGCACGTACCAAATCCCTCTGGGGGCGGCACAGGCAGCGTACCCTAGAAAGCTGGGAACATGAATCCATTGCTGTGAGGGTTAAGCCAGGACAGGACAGGAGAGTTGATGCTGCATGTACTCCGTACTCTACTCGTCCTTGCACAGGCATGGCGGGGTGGTGCTGCTGCGGCCGTGCCCACAAGCAACCTTCACCTTCAGTGCTAGGAACCGTCTCCGGACGTCCCAGGAGATCCGCAGCCATGCAGCCAGCGCTCGACGGTTGCTCGATCTCTCCGATAATTGGCCATGGCCGTGCTGTCTCCGTTGCATGCGAACGACCCTGGATCAGGCGCTAGCGCTGCTCCCTGCCCTTGCGCCGGTCTGTGGTCTGTGGTCCCGTTCCATCACGAGTACAGTATGTACCTGTACTGGCATGTAGCGACTGAGTCGTGTTAGCCCAGCTTCGGCACATGAACCGGGTTTGGTATACTCGCCAGTACGGAGTACTTGTAAGCTTTTCCATGTTGCCAGTTCAGGGCCCTTGGGGGACCCCTCAAGACCCTTGTCCCTTGGGCTCCTCCCAGGACCCGTCTTTTCTTCCATTTGACCTCAGCCGGCTGTCACTGCACTGCACTGCACCCATGCTCGAGCAAGTCGAAAGGGATCCGAGCTGTGGGTGTGGCGCTGAGGGCCAGTTGCTCCAGTTGCTCCAGTCCCCCTGGTGGGAATCCTTTAGGGCTTTTCCCACAGTCATGATGACGACACCATGAGGTCAAAGTGGCCGACTGAGGCCCTTTTTGAGATGCGCATTTCTGCCAGAATCACCGCGTTTTGCGAGTTATGCATGGCCTGTCCGTGATTCCAAGATCCGCGGCGCGGCTGCCTGATTGCAAAAGTGCGTGTCTCTCCTTTTTTCTTCTTTTCCGCCGGCATGGCTGTGATTTGATGTTGATGCAGGAAAACTTTACTTGCCATGGCGCTATGCAAAAGTTGGAGCAAGGCTGGCTGCTAGCACCCTCGCTGGGGGAGACAGGAGCTGAAGCTTAGCCTTGGCGTCTACTTGGTACTTTGTACTTTGTAAGCGCGGCCACCAGGTCTGGGGTACGTTGCCCCGTCTTTAAACTTGCTTTTTGCACCCAACCCGATGCTTACCTGCTGATAGTGGTGCCCTCACCATCACTAGTACCTGCAATCTGTAATCTGTAATCTGTAATCCAATGCGTCGAGTCTTATCGGCGGCTCGCTGACCTTGTACCACATAGGATTCGTACGAGTACCTACGAGTACTCGACACCAGCAGTGCTGTCAACATGTCGAGATGAATTCGAGGCTCCATAAAAACGAACCCCCCCCATTTTTTTTTGGTTTCCTCTTCCCATTGCAGAATAAACCTCTCGTGTCCTGTGCTTCTCGTTCCAAGAGGAGAATTGCCCCAAAGATGGAGCGGCGCTGTCTCTTGGTTTGATGGGTTGATGGGACACCCAGTACGCTTGAATGGGGCCCAGGGTCGGAGAGTAAAAAGTCCAAGTTGACGTGACCCTCGGCTTACCGTGACGTCAACCATTCACCGCGAAACGCTGCGTTCCTTGTACCTAGTAGTAGTATGAGCACCAAGGGCCCTGTGATCCACCATGGTGTCGTAAAGTGTCTGCAATCGAGATTTCGCTGCTGAGGGTCCTCCCAACTCCGGGCATGCCTGTACTACCTAGGTACTACAAGTGCAAAAAGCCGAGAGCGTGTGTTTCGTGCCTTGACCAGCCCTCCACTCACAGCCCTTGGTCGAACGCCAGAAGAGAAGAGAAGAAGGGGTGAAGAAGGGGACGAGAGGGGCCCCTAATTGGGAGCAGAGCGGCCCACCGTGATACCTTTGATCGTTGAGGGTGCTAGAGGGCCCCGAGTGATGGGACGGCGCAAAAGTATCGTGGCTGAAGCGCGCGCAGTTGGGATGCTTGGCTTTATCTTGCGCTCAGCAAAAAGCAAAGGTGCGGAAATAGAGAAACGCCCGACCGAGGATAAGGAAGGAGAAAAGAAGAGGGAGATGCCGATAAACCAAAAACCAAAAACCAAGAATCAAAAATCAAAAATAGATTAAACGAAATCGACAAGAAGCGAGACGAGACAGAGACAGTTCACCAAAACCCCATCGCCGTGCAGCTCCGCCGCCTGCTAAGAGTCGCAGACACACCAGACGTTACGTTCCCGCGCTTGTGCTCAGCGTAACCCCAAGGCGCTAAAGAGGCAGGATCTTCACCGGCTGCACCTCGACAGCCAAGCGAGACAGAGGCGGACGGTGGCGCATGCACGTGTGGTCGGGCCAAGCAACGGAGATGGAGATTGTGAGGAAACAAGGGAGAAGCGAGAAAAGATGAAGATGAACGCCCGGATTGAGCCCTCGGGTTCGCAGCAAGAGAGGTACGAGTACATAACTTGAACCCTTCCTGTAGCATCGTAAGCTGCAGGCTTTGCGCAGACAAGTGAGCAGGCAGACGGACCCCAGGTCGGTACATGCTCGCGGTCCCTGCGGTACTTGCAGCCTGGAGTTGAGGGTACGAGGCCCTCGAGTAAGCGTGCGCGTTCAAGCCACACGAGGCGTGCCCACGGTACCGGCGACTGCTCCAAAAGATACGAGCCGGTACGCCAGGGTGACTGCAATCCCCTCTTCCCCCTCCAAGCGACTCCACACACCCCTCCAGCCTGGGCCCCGCTTCCCCCCTGCCGGACCCTGGTTCCCTGCCCGGCTAACAAGCTGTGGCTGCTTGTGGCCCTACAGTACTGGCCCTACTAACAGCCCGCTATACTCGTAGAGCCTCTAGGGGACCCCCCCTGTCGCCGCAGCTCCAGCGCCCGAAAGCTCCCCCATGCAGCTTGCAGGGCAAAGCTCGCGCCGGGAAGGTTTTGGCTTGGCTCTTTTTTTTTTTTTTTTTTTTCCCTTTGCTATGACAGAGTGACCATTTTTTATGGCTCTTTGGGCTGCGAGCAGTACTAGGTACTGTACATGTACCTATTTGGGGCCACGCAAGGTACGTACAGTACAGTAGGTACAGTACTGTACCTGTCTGCATGTACATGGCATTACATGACATACGCCCATCCAGCGCAGAGATTACGGAGCAAAGTGGGAAGTGGACTTTGTCACTCGATCCTCGATCGATGGGATGGATGCTCCCGTTGCGCCTCTCCGGCTTTGACAAAAACTCTCCATCCTTCCCTCTTGCGCCCTTCTTTTTCTCCCACCTTCTCCGAGCTCTTCGTCACTTATTACTCGGCAGTGCTGCCCTCCCTCGCATCTCGCCTTACCTTTTACCCTTTTCCCTTTACCTCCCCTCACCTCATCTACTATACTATACCTCAACATCACTACCTTGCCTTGCTTCAAGCGCAACAAGCATCGTGGCCCGACATTGTGTCCAGCAAAGCGTCTCTTCGTCGCCTCGTCTCTCGTTTGATAGCACCGGCAGCAGCAATTCGTGCAAACAAAGTCGGCGCCATCTGAGATTGGCCTGAGCTCGACCCTGCTGATACTTATACATTCATCTATACCACACCCCATCGGAGGAAAAGATTAGCGCGCGACACACAGCTACCACTTGTGTGCTATCTGCCTCGACCTCTACTCTGAGGAGATCAAGTTTAAAAAAAAAAAAACAGTTTTTATAAAATAAAATAAAAACATCAAGAGCAAGAAACGGAGCAGATTCGCAGCTGTGCAGATCCAAACCGGCATCAGAATCACCTTTTGCGCCGCTCCTGACCCAATTCGCATGTTCCCGCCGTCCCTCTTTCCTCATTGCGACTGCTGCAGCACCAACGGCTCCTGCCCTCCGTCTTAAACGACATTAAGCGAAGCTTCGACAAAAGCTGCCACCTGCTGTCCATATTTCGACTTTTTTCTTCTTCTTTTTCTTCCTCTTTTCTCCCTCTCCCCATCTCTCATAAACGCGCATCTCTCTTTCAAGAATCACACAGCGGTTCTTGAAAAAGCGCCGTTCTGCAGCTTACTGAAACGTCAAGTTGGAGAGAAGCATTTCCAGAGCGGAAACTCCGGAGCTCTACAGCTTTCCCTGTCCAGAGAGCTCAATTTCACTGCGCGCAACACAAAAACGCAGACATCGCGCACCACCGAATTATCTCTTCACCCCCTTCGAATCGGCATATTGCCCATCTTTTGTCGCAATGCACGCTCGCAACGCCGCAGGCCGCAGGGTCTCGCTCCTCAACGAGGATGACTTCAACAACACCGTCGACACTTCCACTTACTACCACTCCATGCACCCTCAGCCTCCTTCTCGCAGCGACTCGTCGTCACCAAACACACCCGCGCTCCTGAGGTCAGACTCGTTTGATTCTCAGCTCAGCGATGCCGTTTCGCCCTTGACGCCTCCGGTGGATTACAGCTACGGAATCATGCGCGCTCCCCATTACGTCTTGGGGCACGAGTACGCTGAGGGCCCTCCCGCCAAGCGCACCGCCTACGGGGCTTGCAGTCCCTCTGCCTCTGGCGAAGAGGACAGCTCCGCTGCGTCTTGTGTTCCCGAGCGCCCCGTTAAGCGGTATCCCTGCCGCTACCGTGAGATTCACGGATGCGAAAAGACCTTTACCACCTCTGGCCACGCTTCGCGCCATTCCAAGATCCACACAGCTGAAAAGGCGGTTCATTGCCAATTCCCGGGATGCCACAAGAAGTTCACCCGAGCCGACAACATGAAGCAACATCTGGAAACCCACTTCAAGGACAAGTCGCGAAGCTCGTCGGGCACCCAGCGCTCTAGCAAAACCTCGTTGGCTGCCAATGCGCGACGCAGCTCAACTTCATCCAGCCGAAGCCGCTCTTCCACCACGGGGCCTGATTCTTTTGTTTTCTGGGACTCGAGCGAGCTTCACCAGAAGCAGAGCCTCGTGCCGACGTCCCCGCTTACGCAGCCCGCCGGCAATGCGGGCGACTGGGATACCAGTGTGAGCACTTTTGATCTCCCATTGCTGAACCGTCCTTCCGCAGTTGGTCGCACCCCCAGTGGCCTCGACACGTTGGCCATGGCCATAGCGTGCCAGGAAGGTCGGATGGCATTGTGAGAAGAAGTAAAAAAAAACTCTGCACCTTTTTCAGCTCCCCTCGCTTCATTTACCCCTCCACCCTTGGACAAACCTGGCAGCAAATCCACTTGGGCACAACCTGGGCGTTGCGGTTACATCACATGGAATACCGGAGAGAGAGAGGGAAAAAAAAACACCACAAGAAGAAAAGAATCCACAAAAACAGAAGGAGAGAAGAACAGAGTAATTTTTAATGCCCCGCCTACTTGCAACGACAAAAATTAAAGAATGAGACTCGGATACCGCCGATTTATACCATAAATCTGCGGCAGGGGAATATACAGAGCACACTCGGCACATATACGATCAGGGGCGGACAACTTATACACTGGCGGCTGCGCCCTGCGGGATGTCAAATGGCGTTTGGATGCGATTTGCTTTTAGGCATCGCCATTTATCATGATTTCTTCTTTTTCTTCTTTTTTCCTTTTCAATTCTTCATTTCACGTCTTTTCCCCTTCACTATACAAGGTTGCAAGATACACGAATGGCGCCTTGGTTGACTTAGCTTCATTGTTGTTTTCCTTTATTTCCTTGTCTACTCGGTTTTCCTTTGTCAGGGTACTGTGTTATACGCTTCTTGATATCCCATGCTTTCATGCACGCCTCGATGATTGATGAATCTTTTCGAAGATGGTGGTTGGGGGGGATGCTTCATCTTGTCACATGGCGTTTGGCGGTATTTTCCCCTTAGATGAGATGCGCGCATGGGAAAAAAAATCGAGATGGTGTGTTAATGGCTACATGTATATACAAATGGCAGCTCGCTTTTGAGCCTGGGATGGGACGGACTTCAATTGATACCACTTTGTTGATTTTGATACATGTTGATTTCCATTTTGCATTGGTGACTGCTAGTCTGCAGAGATGAATACATGAGGGGATTGTGTATACATGAAGCCGGCCCGATGCATTGAGGCCCAGTCACGTTGTCCGAGTAAAAGTTGCATATGAGCATCTACATGCGCGCGTAAGCTTAGTACCTGTATGGAAATGGGACTATTGAGCTCTTTTCTTTTCCCATTTTCATCTTCTTCTTCCCCCTTGTCCCGTCTTCCCGTTTATCATCCACTTTCCGTTTTTTTCCCTTTTTCCTCTTTTTTTTCTTTTCCCAAATATCGTCGGAGTTGCCCGATTTTTGCTCGCTCTCGGCCTTGGGTAGGGTTACGTACGTACGTACCTTACCTTGAGGGCACGGACGATACCGATTCGGCGGGCTGCAGAAGCAAAAATTTTTTATTTTTTTTATTTTTTTATTTTTTATTATTTTTTTTTTTACTTTTGCACCATTTTTTGTGAAAGCCTGGGGGGCCGTTGTGAGCTCCGCCTTTTTTTGGAGCTCCGGGGGAAGAATTTCCAGGGAGGAGACGAGGTTGCTGTGATGTTTTGGTGTTTTGACGTGTAACTATAGGCCTAGCTATTTGGGGGGTTTGGTTTGTGATTTTGAGGAGACGTTTGGTTTGCCGAAGGGGTCAAGTGCCTGGACATCAACACTTGCAAAGAGGAATTCGTTACAACTGTCCAGTAATGAACGGAACAGCATTTGGTGGAGATATTGCCGGTATCCGTTTGACGGAATGGGGAATTATGAGCACACCCTTTACGAGAGCTGTTTAATCAAGGCAAACCCTCTACGTATGTAAATACTCTTCCCGAATCCCAAACCAGCCAAAGACAACATGGCTCGCAACTAACATGTCAATATCACCCAAGCACATCTCTCATAGACACCATAAAAGCCATCAGAATTTACAATATATATTCTACATACACAAATCTACCATCTAAATACCCGCGCCTTTATACACAACCCCCCTTTTCACGTCCAAAGTGCTTCCATCTCTGTGCATGCCCTAGCCATCTCAAACTGCTCATCCGTCTGACACACGAGAACCTTGTGTTTGGAATCCTTGCTGCTCAGCTCTCGAACGGTTGCGTCTCCAGCCGCCTCGGCATTGTTGAGCGCCTCGTCAATGGCGAAACCCAGGCACCCTGCCTGCTCAACCACAGCGCTGCGAAGGCGGGCACTCCTCTCTCCGATTCCTCCCGCAAACACGATCGCGTCCACCTCGCCGCGAAGCGAGACGAAGTAGCTCCCAACGAAACCGCAGATGCGGTCTACAAATAGATCAAAAGCCAGGCGGTGCTGGGGTTCGTCCGAGGCGGCAATGACGCCGAAATTGGTAGTGCCCGTCAGGGATTTCCAGCCACTGGCCTTGTTGAGAATCTCCTCGGCCGTGGAGATGTGGAGATGCTCTGTCGACGCCGGAGAAAGCTTGCCCACGTCGCTGGCGTAGTGAAAGACTAAGCTGTTGATTGGTCATGCCTGTCAGTTCCGAGTTTCCCGCGTGACAATTGGACAGGGTCAAGGACTCTAATAGAAGACCGAAATGCAAAGATTGGCTCACCTAGGATCTACGCTTCCACTGCGGGTGGCGCCAGGAAGCCCAGCCAACGGAGTCAACCCCATGCTCGTGTCCCAGCTCTTGCCATTCTTAATTGCACAAGCACTGGCGCCGCTGCCGAGATGCAGAGCAATAATGTTGAGTTGATCACGGCTCTTACCGAGGAAGTCGGCCACGGACCTCGAGATGAAGGCGTAGCTGATGCCGTGGAAGCCGTACTTGCGCAGCCGGTTCTTCTTGGCGATTGTCTGGTCGATTGGGTAGGTGGAAATGTGCGGCGGTATGGTGGAGTGAAACTGCGAGTCAAAGCAGGCGACATTGACGGCGTCGGGGAGCTGCTTCATGCACGAGTCGACAATCGCCAGCGCAGCGCCGTTGTGCAGGGGCGCCAGGTCGCTGAGGGCTTCCAGATGGTGATATGTGTCTGGGGTGATGACTTGGGACTCGCCATAGTCGCCTCCGTGGACAATGCGGTGGCAAGCAATGGCCACATCCGATTTGGAGCTGATTTCTTTCAAATCAGCATCATCCACCAGCGTCTTGAGCAGCAAGGCAAATGCATCATCTTGGCTGTTGACGGCAGTGTCCACGTTTTGGTCCTTGATGACGGTCTCGCCACCTCGCGAATACTTCAGCTGAGCTGGCGGAGCCGTAAGACCGTTTACTTGGGATTCGGCAATCTGGCGCGGCGCCGTTTCCTTGTCGGCCAGGTAGACTGAGATTTTGACGGAGCTGGAGCCAGCGTTGATGGCGAGAATGACGCCCATGGCAGGGAGGGGATCTTGGGGGGGTTGGGTAAAGAAGCAACTGCGATTTTGAGCTGGAAATTGGGAGCAATGCCCGACGAGGCTCGTTTGCCCTTGCGCTGTGTGTTTGTGTACAGTTGTGTAGACTTGAATGGGACGCCGGTGTCTCAACAAACAACTCGGACAATCCAGCCCTTGCGCCGCCTTTTAATTGAATTGTCTTCCTCTTCAAGCCCCCCTCTCAATCTGCACAAGGGAAAGAAAAAGTGAGAGATGGGAAGAGAATGTCGGCCGATGAGCTGCAGAACGGGTGAGGATGCTCATGACGCTCATGACGACACTGGAGATGTTGATGGCCTGATGATCGCGGGGAGTTTTGGTGGTGTGGTGGGGGGAGCCAATAATAGACGCTTCTCATGCCACGCCATGCATATCGGCGACGGTGACGTCCTTTAATTCAGCCGGCGCTGGTGTGGCGCACCGGCTGACAAAGGAGAGACACCGGAATGGGGGTTGGGAGGGAATTGGGGGGGGGGGGGGGTCAAGAGGGAAAAGGAAAAGATGGATGAGGCTTCTTTTCTTCCCTGGAGGCACGCATGAGCCCTTGGCTTGTCGATTGCTGAGCCAAATGCAGGCTGGTCCAAGGCGTAAGTAAGTGATATTTGCGTCACATGAGCCGGTCGGGCAAAACGTAAAGTACATAAAAGAGGGCTTCCGGCTCAGCCAGTATCGGCATCTCGACCGGGCGGGATTTCCGGCGAGGGCAGCTCGAAGTGATTGGGAGGAAACGGGACGCCATTGAATTCACGGTCGGAGCTGTGGGCAAAGGCCCAGGTCTCGATGAACCGCTTGTAGTCTGCAAATGCTCCACGTTAGAATGTTTGCCCTTTTCCACACAGCACCGACTTTCTGTAATTTTGAAATCTCTCTCTCTCTCTCTCTCTCTCTCTCCCCTTACCTCGCTTATGTGTAAACTGAATAGAGAGGTGGCGAATATCCAGGGTGGTGGTTGCGTATGAAGGGCCCAGCTCGGGACTGGCCTGGCTGGCCCGGACTCTCTGGCGGATGCGAAAGGTTCGGCGCGATGAGGTTTCGTCGGGCACGCTTCCTCGGCGGCCGTGGACGTTGAGGCGGAGGGTTTTGGCGCGGTCGTCTCGGTTTCGGAGCTCGCCGTCAAAGTGGTGAATGTCGTATTCGCGGTAGTGATTGTCCGTCTTGTTGGCCAAGACGCTCAGGGAGTGGTAAGTGGTGTATCGGTCCCTCCAAAGCTTGAGCCTCTGAATGGCTCCGATGCCCTTGACCTTGCCGAAGCTGTCGGTGCGGCTCTGCAGGTTGGACCAAACCACGTCGACGTCGTAAAAGTCCACCAGGTCCTTTCGCCGCACGTCGCCCTGGAACTGGATGGAAGCCTCAACCGTGGTGAACTCGTACCTGACCTGGATGTACTGGTCATGAATACAGATGCCCTCGCCAGAGGTGTACCTGATGCGATGAGGCTCGTTGAAGGACAGGAAGCGTTCCATGTCGGGCGGGTCGTTGAATTGGCGATGCCGTGAGTGGAGGGTGTGAGGATGGACATCGGACGGTATGTCTGAGGGCACTTGACACGACCATGATGAGTCGGGGGGGGCAACAGAGTGAAGCAACGCGATGACGCAGCAACACAACACATGGGATATAGGACATTGGAAGGAAAAAGAAGAAGAAGATGATGATGATGACGGCTTCTGATTGGCACTTACAAAAGTGTTCGAGCAGCTCGCTCTGGTAGCTGCACTGCCAGCGGATACGTCGCTGCTCAGACCCCACCACCTCCCAGGGTCCCAGATACACAGTCCGTTCGTCGGGCGTGTCTTGAAAAAGGGTTCTATATCGAGGAGAGAGAAAAAAAAGGCAGGCATTGTCAGATCAGACGGGACTTGCAACGAGCATCAAAAAGAGAAAAAAAAAAAAGGGCCGGGGGCAATCACGGAAAGAAGCTCATCGTACATTGTGGCAGTGTAGCCCGGAGGCCCGAGGTCGAGAGGCCGGAGCGAGGCGGCGGGCAACACGGACTCGCTGGTGGAAGTGGCTGATATCGTGGAGATGTCGGACGTCTGCGTCCAGGTCGAATCTACGGGACTCACATAGGAGCGGCTGTAGGTGGGCGGGCGGCCGAGAGACGACGAGGCGAAGGAGGAGCCGGACGAGGACGAGGCAGCCATTGCTGTGCTGTGCTGAGCTGAAGCGGGAACAAGGGGCAGCCGGGAGGGCGCTCAGAGTCACCGACGACGACGACTATCCGCGGGCTGGGGCGTCGTTGGAGAAGCTATCATGACAATGACACTGGCCGCGGGAGGAGAAGAAGAAGAAGAAGAAGCTGGCGGCACGGCACGGCTTACGGAGCCGTCACGGGCTGGGTCTGGACAAGTCGGAGGGATCGTTGTCGCCATGCCCCAGCTGCAGAGGGGGGGGGGACCAAAGATTTGCTGAGGGCGGTGGATTTGGGGGGAGGGAGAAGAGAGAGGGGGATGGGAGGATTTCGGGATCGAAGAACCGGAAGCAAAAAGAATGGACGTGAAGCATGTTGCTGGGAGTCTCTCGGCTGCATAATGCTCTACTGCTACTGCGATAGTACCTACTCGTACGCACTGCTACGAACTTACTGTAGGTACCTAATCCCACGTTCTGCTGCAGGTGGATAAGACAAGGTTCAAGCTACTAAAACCTCTTAGTCCAGATATTACCGTCTGGCGTCTGGCAGATTGCTGGCAGTTGTTACGAGGACTACGGAGTAGAACTAAAGAAAAAAAAAAGAGGAATAATTGTCTCTATCGTCGCGGGGCTCCGGTTCCAGTGCAGCTCGAGACAAGTTCTGCACGGCCTGTCCAAGACATCAACCATCCATCAGATCAGCCTGGCAGGCAGTACTATTTGATCCATGGAATCTAATATTGCCTTAGTACTATATCCAGTTGTCGTAGTAGTAGTCCAGGAGGTACAAGCGTGCTGCTGGGGGAAGCTCTCTCATCCTCTTCTCTCTTAGGACAGCAACCAACCCCCCCTGGCCCGGTCCACCACAAATGCAGAGCACCCGTTTGGTCGAGCAGGCTGCAAACCCAATGCACGAGTTTCTTGGAGCGAACTGCAAAAAGGGTGGTGACAGTGCATGGCCTTGTACTGGGTACGAGTACTCAAACATGCCCAGCTCGCCATTCCGCTGCTCGGCTGGTTTGCCGTCCGGAGCTCTTGATGCAAGCTGTGGGATTGGTACTGGATACATGTACTTGGCCGGGCGTGGGCATCACGGACAGGCATCCGAGGCGTCTGTCTGAGGTGACGAGGCGTCTAGCTGCGGGTTGGCGCGATGCCGCACAAGAGCAAGAGCAAGAGCACGAGCACGAGCACTCGTAGTACAGTAACATCTGCGAATAGCCTAGCGAGATGCCAACAAACCAAACTGCAGCGAAGAAGAGAGAGAGAGAGGGAAAACAAACTGGCGATTTACTGCTAGCTAGGTGGCTAGACCAAGGTTGGAGTCGCTTCGTCTGTCTTTCTCGGAAGAGGCTCAGGACCCGCTCCACTGGAAGCGACGATAGCGTGCACGGGGAGCTGTCCGGCCGCCTGATTGGCCGGTGAGCCGCCGCCATGCCGTCCAGAAATGCTGCGGGCTCTCGGAAAGGCGCTGCCCACACGTACCGAATGTTGTCTTCAGCGGCGATGGGGCATTTGATGGCGTGGCGAGCAAGATGCCACGGCTGAAAATTGAAAAGGTAGGTAGAGTCCAATCAGGGCTGGCGGGTGGTGGCTCCGGTGTTGCAGTGGGTCGGCTGTTTCTTTTCAGCTGCGTCCAGTCGATACTGCAGTGTACGAGTGAGTACACGAACACTGCGGACTATCCAATATATACATGTACAGCAACAATGCGATGCGACGTCTGTGTGTGTGTGTGTCCGTTCCAGGCCCATCATCGATAACGTGCTCGCCCTTGAACCCCCCAGCCAAAGGGCCTAGAAGCGGCCCATGAATTGCCCACGAGTATATCCTCGTAGTAGCGCAACAGCGGCCGTTAATCGCCACTGCTGGGCTCACGCACAAGGTCTTAGCGGCTGGCGGCTTCGCACCGTTAGGCCGGTACCGACAAGCCACCGCTGGCCAGCGCCCCCACATTTCTTCAGGAACCGTCCACCACGTGCTCTCCCTGACACCTCTGGCCGGTTCTCGTTGCGTGAGAAGTTGCATCTCGATTTTGCCCCGTGGATGGACTTGGACGTGGCTTTTTGGGTTTCGATGCTAATCGGTACGAGTGAGTGCGCATGTACGAATGCCTGCTATAGTTCCGGCACGGAGGACGAGGGACGCCGTTTGCCGAGCCCTCCTCCCGCCCTTGCACATGTGCGTGTGACGATGACACTCTGCCCAAGAACCTTGGGATTCTTGATGATTGGCAAGCCTTGATGACGAGATTGGAGGTTCAGACTAAGCATGTGCAGCGGTTTCACCCGTCACATTGGTGGTCGAACATGTAATTACACTTGTAGGTGATGAGTATAGTAGATTAACATGAGGTAGTAGTACTAAAGTAAGGTAATGTAGCACTCGAAAACCCCCAAAAAGCTACATCACACAACAAGGACAGACCCCAAAAAATCCCGAAACCCAATCGCCCATCCACATCTTCGAAATTCACCGGATTCGTAGTAGCTACCTCGCTTTCCCCCTGCGAGTCTGGAATCGTGCCTCTCCAAGACAGGGAAATAAAGTGGGAATGGGCAAAGGTACAGTAGCGTTCGGCACGGGCGATGGATTGGTCCCTTTTTTCTCTCTCTCTCTCTTCTTCATCTTGGGAATTTGCATTGCATTGCACGGCACAGATGGATGACCTGACCACAAGGTTGGTGGGCTTCCGCATATTAAGCTATTAACCTTACTATTGCCAGTCTAATCTGGGAGTTTGCAGCATTGTCCAATATATGGTACCTAGCATAAGTAGCAATACAGGTACAGGTAGCAGTACTGTTACAAGGGCTCAGGTCCAAGTATCACGCACGTATCAGGTAATACCACCCCCCAGCTACCAGCTACTACCTAGTCCGCATTTTCCTCAGCCTCAGATTGCATCCTCAATCTTGGCAACCTAATGCTCCAATACTTGTGCCACGCCTGGAGCTGCCGCCGACAAACGCGTCACTCTCTAACAGCGGCGATGGCTTCTTTGCCTTGCCGCTCGCTCTAGAACGCCTCGTTTTCAGTCTTGCCCTTTGCCATCCTCGTCCGCCTCGCCGCTTTCTTCTCTCTCCTTGCGCTCCCTTTTCTTTCTTCCTTTCCATCTTCGTTTTTCCTTTTCTTATTTTTTCCTTCCCCCCCATTTCGCCAGTTTCACTCACTGTTTGATTGATTGCACCCGCCATGAGATGCTAACGTCACGTCGTGTCTTCCGTAATGAGCCAGACGCCGGGGATTGCGCCCATTTTCTGCCTGTCGCTCGACAAATCGTGCCATTCCTCATCCCTCTTCCCCCTCCGGGCTCCCGTGTCTCAACTGAACTGAACTGAACTGAGCCCGCTCGACAACCAGGGGGGAAAACAAGGAGAGACTGTCTCAGAACAACCTACAGAGTACACAACCGCTGCAACCTCCCCCCCCCCCCCCGCCCATCTCCATCTGCTTGGGCGCATTCGCCCGAGTTGAGTCTCGCGGCCAATGCCCTTGAACCTGGGGAACAGCTCCGGCCGGAGAAATCGAGGGTTTCTCGGCGCCGACAGCTCTGCCTTGTCGTCCCAAGACGTCCAGGTGTGTCTTTTGCCTCGCATTTATCCATCAATCTCCATCCCCCCTTTTTACCCTTATCCAAATCCATCCTCCATCCTCTATTCTCCATGTCTCCATGTCTCCATATCACATTCTCCATCCTCGCTACGACCGCATCTGCATCTACTACTGGGCCTCGCCCCACTGCCGCGCGCAAACCGAACCGAACCGGATGCCTTGCCATTGCCACGAGTTTGCTAACATGTTCTTTGTCTTGTCTTGCCATAGGATCGACATCAGTTGCGCTACGAGCTTGACCTCAACTCTTGGAACCTCCGCATCTGGGGCGTTGCCGCCTCGGGCTTCCTGACCGATTCGTACGTTGTCCAGCCTTGTGATCTTTTCTTCTTGTCTCTCTTCTTACTTCCTCCTCTTCCTCCTGCTCCCCCTAATCCTCTTGATACTGCATTGGCCGTTGCTGTATCCCGTATAAAAGACTTGTTGTCGCCAAAAAAGTATATATATATATATATGACTTCCCTCCCACTAACCTCATTTTGTCACAGATACAACCTCTTCTCTTCCAACGTCATCCTTGCCTCTGTTGCCTTTGTATACTGGCCTCACGGAGGAGAGTGGACTAGCCTCCTCATCAACTTCTTTACCCTTTTTGGGTCCATCGTGGGACAGGTCCTCTTTGGCTACCTCGCCGATCGCTTTGGTCGTACCCGTCTCTATGGAATCGAGCTGGTCCTCGTCATCGTCTCAACCATCGGCGTAGCTACCAGCAGCCATGGCTACGGAGACATGTCGTTCCTCGGCTTGTTCATCTGGTGGCGCTTTGTCATGGGCATTGGTATGCTTCGTCTCCCCCTCCCCCCTTTACGCCCGTCACTCACCATTCGACCAGGCATTGGAGCCGAATACCCCTTGAGCGCAGTCATAACCTCTGAGTGGTCTAGCACTCAGTCCAGATCGAGCATGCTCGCCAGTGTCTTCCTCATGCAGCCTGTTGGACAAGCCCTGGCTCAGATTATTGGCTTGCTCGTCCTGATAGGGTTCAACAACACGCACCACCTTAGGGAGATGCGATGTGGGCTCGACTCCCTGCATGAAGAGGAGTGTCGCCGAGCAGTTGACGGCATCTGGCGCATCGTCATCGGGTCAGGCGCCGTGCCCGCTCTCCTGGCCATCATTTTCCGGTTTTTCTTGTTCGACTGCGGTCTCTACAGTCTCGAGGTCAAGAACAAGCCTGCTGTTGCCATCATGAACACGCAACGTGTCTACGGTGCCCCATCCGGCACTACCTCCAACAATGTCCAAATAAACCCTCCCAATGGCATGCACCCTGAAAACTCCCCCGGGCCAATGCCCATCCAGTTTTCCAGAGAAGATCTGCACAACTACTTCATACGAGATGGCAATTGGTACTATCTCCTCGGAACATCGGCGGCATGGTTCTTTTTGGACGTCAGTTTCTACGGCCTCTCGCTCGATAACCGAGGAACCCTGGCCGACATGTGGGCTACGACGAAGCCAGCCAAAATCAACAGCCAGCTTTCATGCTGGAACTCGTCGCTGCCGGGGGGGAACTCGACGGTGCCCGGCTGGGTGACGTCCGGGCTCCCTGCCTGGCAAACGGACAAGACGGAGCCGTGTAACACCATTTACGACGTGCTGATACAGCAGACCAAGCAATACATACTCACTGTTTCCTTGGCTTCCATTGCCGGGAGCGCGTGCTTCATCTTTTTCGCGAACCGCATCCCGCGCAAGCAATGGCTTACCATTTCCTTTTTCGTCTTGGCCATCCTCTTCATCATTACGGGAGGCGTCTACTACGGCGTGCACCAGGAGGCGGCTGCCCCTGCGACGGTCGTGTTTGTGGCCATTTGCCATTTCATGTTCAACATGGGTAAGAAGCTTCCAAGACATCCATCTACCAGCTCAATGCTAACACGTTGCTCTTCTCTCCTTGTTCTAGGCGCAAACACACTGACATTCATCATACCGGCGGAAATATTCCCCACCTGCTACCGATCGACCTGCCATGGCATCTCAGCGGCGGCGGGCAAATTCGGGAGCATCGTCTCTCTACTGATCGTATACGGCATCAACCAGTCGTACAAGAGCGACAGCCGCCAGGGCCTGGTTTTCCTCCTCTTCGGCTCCGTGGCCGCCTTTGGCGCCGTCTTCTCCTGGGCCTACCTGCCCGATCCACAGAGATGGGTCGACGACGGCCAAGGCAAGAAGTATCTCGAGACGAAAGATCTCGAGGAGCTCGGCGAGGGCCGCGTCAGGGCCCGGCAAAGCGGAGATGTCGTCACGTTTGGCGAGAAGTGGGCGGATATCAGGAGGCGGAGGAGGGACAACCAACATCGCCGCCCGTCTTCATGAGATTACATAGCTGTATAGTGCTTTATACGTTTTTCTTTTCTTTTCTTTTTTTTTAACCTCCTCGGACTGGCATTTTATGTATTGGAATTTTCAGCCTGGATATATATGAGATGATTTGGGATATATCAAACATTGTTATACATTGTATATTAGGCTAGGCGGATAGCGTGGGAATTTTTGCGATACCACTTTTGAGTTTGAACTGAACGAGGATATATATAATAAAGATTTCAACAGAGAACGTTTTTAATGACGGACAGGGTATTACTTCATTTCAATTCCTCTTAGTACTCCTAAATGGACTATAGATTCTACGTAGACATCGTCACCCCCCCTCATTCGACGTCTGAAGCAGCAGGTCAACAGTTTCCAGATAAAACTCATCCGTACCCGTCGTCGCCCTAATATGCGGATCCATCTCCAAGGCGTTTAACCAACGATGCCACCGCGTGCCCGAAGTGGCATCCGCCAAAAGCGCATTCGGATAACGACGATGGAGGATACGGCTGAGGCGAAGCGCAAAGGGCGCGAAATGGATGTCGACGAGAGAAAGCGACGGGCCGAGGAAGTAAGGGCCTTGTTCGTCCGCGGCGAGGATGAGGGCCGTCAGGTGCGATTGGAAGAGGGCGACAGCGGATGTTGGCGTTGTGGATGCATTGATGGTGTTTAGGGGGCGTTGTGAAGAGATTGGCGGTTGGAGTAGGGAGAAGAATGTTGGGACGAGGCGGGCGTTGATCTTGAATGATGGGTTGGTTTTAGTTGAGCTCCACTGCTGACTTTTTTGAATCTTGCTAAAGGAAGATGAGAATTGGGAGTGACTTACATGATGGATCCAGAGACGGCAGTTTGCTCTCAGTCGTGGATCGGAAGGGAACAGTGGGATATCAGGATAAATGTCTTCCAGCTTTTATACCAGAGAGACTCGATGTTAGCACTCATCATGAATGTGTCGAATTTAGCTTTTCCATACGTACATATTCCAGAATGACGGCACTCTCGGAGCACGCCCAGTCTCCCTGTCGAACAGCGGGAACACGACCTCTCGGATTAGCTTCGAGGAGCGGTGTCGGAGCAGGACGCTTGAAAGGATCTGTTTCGATGTACTGGTATGCCTGGCCTTTGGCCTCGAGGGCGATCCAGACGCGCTGGGAAAAGGGGCTGGGAGTTTGAGCGCAGTTAGAAGCTGGCACTTGGGAAAAAAGGATTGAAAGTGTCAATGGTACCAGAAAGTCGCGGCGTATAGCCTTAAATCAGCATTCTTACTGTGCATCCGAGCCGTCTCTCGCGCCGCTCCAACAGCCTTGCCCAGAGGCGTTCTCTATAACAGGAGTTGAAAAGTTGTCAGTCAGCCTTGCCTGTCTCATATCACAAGTTTCCCACCCCTTACTGCTCAACTTACCTGTACCTTCTTCCCCTCCTTGTCTCTCGTCGACACAAACCGCTGCACGCTGCTCTTCTTAATCTCGTCGCTCCTCTCCAGCGTATGCCGATGCGGACCAGCCACTCCGTCTGCTTTGCCGTTACCACCATTCCCATTCACCCGCTGAATCGTCCAGAAGCGCTGTCCCGCGCTGACGACGGAATGGGCCGCCGTGCCGGCCGCAATGGCAGCGGCAACGTCCCGATCCAGCGCGGCCTCGGCCCCGGCATCCGGGAAGTACTCGGTGATCTTGATCTTGACGTCGCACAAGTCACGTTCGCGCGTGCTGCGCTTGCGCTTCTTCTTGTTCGGATCATCCGACTTGGGCGTCCCCGGCGGGCGGCCCTTCATGCGGCAGTCCCAGTAGTGCGAGATGAAGGGCTTTCGCTTGTAGCGCTGCGTGGAGCGGTGTGAGTAGACGTTGTCAATGTGTGGAAAGTACGTCTCAAACTGCTCGTGCGTGAGGATGATGAGATCGTCGACCTGGAAGAGCCTTTCTCGCCATGCCTGGAGGTCGGGAGGGTCGATGACGAGCTTGGCTTGGCTTAGTTTGTAAGGTGCTGGAGTAGCGGTAGGTGGTGGCGGCTCGATCTGATGGCGATGATAATCATGGATGGGGCCTGGGTTCCGAAGTGACGAAGTATTGTCTTCTGGCTCGGCGGCCGAGCGGGGAGTTGGCATGAGAATGCCAAACTGGCCGGCCGGAGCTTGTCTCTGTTGCGGGTGAGGGTGAGGGTGATGGTAGCTTTGATGAAGGCCTGGAGCGACGGGGAGATGCCGCGGATGCTGTTGTTGATGTGACTGTTGATGGTGCTGATGATGCTGATGCTGATGATGATGCTGCTGCTGTGCCATGGCGCTTTCATGTCTCGCATCGCGATACCCTCCAAACCCAGCACCTCTCGCACCCCTTCCCCCCAACGCGCCTGAGCGTCGTCCACCGCCGCCGCCGCCTGCATCATGTCTGGTGTTGCTTTTGCCGCCGTTGTTGTTGTTGTTGCCGCCATCACCATCACCATCGCCGTCCCTCCCACCATTCCCATCATCACCGTCGCCTCCACCATCAACATCATCACCACCACCACCAGCATCACCATCACCATCCTCATCGCCCTCATCATCATCATCATGTCCATGATACCCCCCTTCCAGCCCCTCATACCCCCCCATCCCCACCGCCCCAAAATCCAATCCCACGCCCAAATAATGCCCTCCGTGCCCCGTCCCAGCAGCAGCCCCAAACGAACCCCCAGGCGCCGCCATTCTCCCGGGGGACGGAGGGGGGGCGTGTGCCAAATCAAAAGGTGCGCAAATACCCTAGACCAGACGGATATCCAATAGGAAAATAGAGCGAGGATCCGTTGCCGGGGCTAGCAAGAAAGAAATCATTGGTTCTCTCTTTTCAATCGTAATGCCTTTTTTTTTTCTTTCGCTGCTTTAAGAGTTCGTGCTGTGTGGTTTTTGTTTTGTTGCTTCGTCCAATGGAGGGGTTGTTTGGCGGGGGGGGGGAAAGAACAGAGTCAAGGCGCTGAAGGGCGGCAATGCGTGCACGGGCCACCTCGCCCTGTCTTGGTTGGGCCCGTCTTACTCATCGACTCGTCCAAGTTCAATTCCTTTCAAACAAGGAGCGATATCTATTGCTGTCTAAACATTGGTGACGACGCTCTTCATCTTCGTTATTTGCTTATTCTTTATACTTACTCCCTCAAGCTTCATCGCAAAAAACTGAATTCAAGACGAAATCTCCACCACACAGTCAACAAGACACACAACAACCCAAACACCAAATCAAAGCGAAAGTAAAATCATCTGCAAGGAGAACACTCGTCATTGCTGGGTATTAACTAAAAAACTGTTTGTCCGATTCCATCTTCATCCCACCGCCGCCCCAGGTTCCCAAGCTTGCAAGAAAAAAACCCCTCGGTATAAGACGGGGTCATGTGCGAGCCAGAAAAAAGGCGGACAAGTATGACTTGAAAAGAAGTAAAAAAAAATATGGAAGAAGTTTAGAAGAAGAAAAGAAGAACCAAGGAGATACAAGAGTAGAGAAGAAAAAAAGAGAACAACAAAAGTGACAACCGTATTCGCCCCAATGCCCTACACGCCCATAAATATCGTTCCAATCGTCCATAGCATCCAACAAATTACAGATAACGTATAACCGTAGAGCGAGAGTAAAGAAAAGACCGTGCGAACCTGTCAAAAAAAAACGTTTTCCTCGTGTGCAAGGCAGAAACACCCAGGATTAAAAGAAAACTCCCAAATACAACCTCTCCCTTCTCTTTCAAATCCAGTCTAGCACAAGACCATGCTTCTCTTCCCATATTCCTTCTCTTTTTACACTTTATTTTTTCCCTTTCTTTGATATGTCCAGGTATATTTCCGTTGGTGATGGCTTAATGTGGGTTACCAGAGTCCCACGATGATAGATCCATGGCGTCCATAGGTCCCATGTTCATCAGTGCTCTGAGAACACCTTCTCCCCCTACTGGTTGCATCCCGGCGGCTGGTCCGTTCAGCCCTCCCCATCCGTTGGACATGCCGTATGCTGCTTGTGGAACCCCCATACCGGCGGCCATCGTGAAGCTGTTGGGGTCGCCATAGTAGCCTTGGTTGCCGCTGTTGTCCATGCCTCCGTGGTTCATCATTGTCTGCTGAGGTGAAATAGGGCTTGCTCGGTATGAATCGTGGCCCGATGCCGCATTGGACATTTGGCCGGGCACGAGATGAGGCCTGATGTCGGATCCGGTACCGCTCGAGTTGGGAGTTCGTCCAGCTGACTGCACGTCTGGGGACCCAGAGGCATCTTGGTCCAGGCCGTCGCCAAAGCCGGATAGTCCGCCGCTTCCGGGAACGTTCTTTTCATACATGCTGCCGGAGTTGGGTGTCAATACATGCATCTGCTGCTCGGCCGAGAGCCACGCTCCGTTTCCAAAGTTGTTGGAGTGTGATGTTGACATGCTCTGAGAATCGCCAGAAGGTTCTGTGAGGTCAGGAGCCGTGGCAGAGTTGCCGTTGTCACCCGTTGTCTTCAAAAAGTGGCATTCATTTCGGTAGGATAATATGCCCTTGACGCCCTCTGGGTCATCGCAGACGGCTCCGGCTCGTACGGGGAGTCCCTTGGGGGCTTCAGCAGACTGCAAGCACGGTTAGTAAAAGCTCATCTCAGCCGCCGCTACATCTCGTGCAACTAAAGTTAGACCAGATAAGGGAAAGGGGGTGCTTACACTTTCGCCAGGGCGAGGGAACGCGCCCCTCAGCTTAGGAATCTTCAGCGCCAGAGCCTCAAAGTCCACGTCCAGTTGGACAAGGAAAGACTCGGTCAGAGGGTTCCGTCGCTTCAAGGCATTCATGGCCGAGATGAGGAAGCGCAGCGAATCAATGGTCTGCGCGTCGTCAGGCTTGCTCTTGAGATACTGCACAAACACTCGTGCAGAGACGTAGAGGCAAAAGGCAATGAATGGGTTCATCTGAGGTATCCGCGTTAGTATTCATCACTATCATATCACACAACGATGCCTCTGTTATAAAAGGCTGCGTCCTTGGTGGAAGCAACTTACCGAAGACAAGTCCATGTGTGAGATTGTCCTCATGATGCTGGCAATCTCGTTTGCGGCAGTGATGCACCGGACTTTGCTCTCCGCACTGACTGATGCCGGGAGCTTGTTCGCCTCCGCTTTGAAGATGGCCGCCTGGTGAAGGCAGATGGTCGAAGTGTGGATGCTCATGTTGGTGAAGACGACGTTGGGGTTGCCCAGGCCGGCAGGGAGCTTGAGGTGGGACGGCAGGCAGAGGGAGGTGTTGAGCAGGATGTGGTCCATCTGTCGGTGGCGCTTCCAGAACGGGCCATTGATGTCGTGGTCAAGGTCGTCGTCGTCGGGGCGGTGCAGGTGAATCAGGTTGCGGCCGAAAAGACAAGCCATCAGGATGATGCCGCCGAATGAGGAGAGCTTGCCGGCTCCGGATGGGCCCATGGACTCCTCCAGAGTCAGCGTCTGCTCTGGGCGGCTCATGTCAAAGGCTTCATCCGCCGATGGCATGTTTGTCTTGATGTCCTTTTCATCAATTGTCATGGGCCAGCCAGTACCGATACTGGCATAGCGATCCTCACAAAAGGCCATCCAAAACGTTCGTCTGCGTTCCTCCCTCTCGGTCCAGTCCTTGGGGGGTGGCAGACACTGTTTCACGTCCAAGCCACCACCATCCATACGGTGCAATCCAATCCTGCATCGTGTCAATTTATGCCGGACTTGGTTGAATAGGAGGTAAGAGAGGGCTTCTTACATTTGTGCCAGACGGACGGCAGAGCCGGTGTTGATCCAGGCTCTGGGGAAGTACATCATCTTCATCTCATAACTGGCCAGCAGGATGTGTGTCTGGCAGTGAGCGACGGAAATCATGTGCTCTCCAAAACCTTTCATGTAATCGGCCTCGACATACTTGCGTGCTCTCTGGTAGAACAGATCCTTCAGGTCCGTGTACTTTTCCGAGATGGAGCATGCCAATGTCCACATGCCGTAGCGTAAGCAGACTGGTGGTCGTTGACTTGGTGCCCTGTACGAACGAATTGTGAGCCACTTGCATATTCCAATCTCTCGCTTGTTGGCCCAATTCCATCTCAAGATATCATTACACAAGGGGCGCGGGGGTCATGTTTCAGATGATGACTAACATCAAAGGGGGGGGGATCAAACGAGAGAAACGTTAAGCAAGACATACAAGTTCATGGCGGCAAGATAGCGGTATCTGTGAATCATGGGCATCGATGGATGGACCTTTTCAAAGTAGATTTGATGCAGCTCGTCAATAGTTTCCTGCGGCGGTAGCGGCTCCTCCAGCCCCAGGCCAATCATCTCCCAGGTGAAGTTTCCGGGCATGTTGTTGACGGGCATACCCATGTTGGCGTTGAAGCCGAAGTCATCCATTGGCGCCGCCTGGGGCGACTCGCCGTTGTTGTTGAAGTGCCAGCGCTCCTCGCCGTTGATGCCCATGTTGGCGTTGGAGTTGGGCATGGGCATGGACGCACTTGCATTGGCCTGGTTGTTGTTGGTTCCCGGGATCTGCATGCCGACGCCTTTTGTCGGGCTCTTTGCTGGTGGTTCCTGGGTCTTTAATAGCGTCTCAACTTGTTCTGTGTGTCTTGATTAGCCTTTTTGTCTCATCGACGTCGGCGTTGTTGATATCGACGTCTTTTATCGACGTCATCTTGATCGCATGCGCTCTCCTCTTCCATCCCCTCCTCCTCCTCCGCCTCCTCCCGTGCATCTTGAGAAATACGCAAAATCGATCGACGACACAACACTGAAAAGAAAAAAAAGGAACGTTGGCGGGGGTTATTTCTCACTGAGTCGTTCCTCCAGGGCCTTTACGTAGCCACGCTTGGGGCCGCTCTTCCTTCGCTGCTCGTCGTAGGCACAGTTGTGTCCCAGCCGGGAGCAGGTGCTGCAGCTGGGCCGTATGCCGTCGCACTTGAGTTTGCGCTTCCTGCAGATCATGCAGGCAAGGCGCTTGGGCTTGGGGACGCTGGCGTTGTCCGGGTGCGCATCGCGAGGCGCCATGTTGTCGTCTTGAGACGGGCTGTGGCCCGAGTGGTTCCCGCCGTTGCTCGACGAGCCGTTGTCCGAGGAGCCGGGCATGGCGCTGGTTGGGGAGATGGCGACTGCGCGAGAAGCGCTGATGATGAATTCTTTGGATCGACGGTTGGTGTTGTTTATTCCCCTCCCCCTTGTTGGTTCTCCCGATGTCTGCAACGCAAAATCTCCTCCACGCTGGGCGAACGGATGATTGGCGGGCTGACGAGCAGAAACGCGAAACAAGACGAAAGAAAAAGGGAATAGGAAACCGGAGAGCAACGGATAGCTGTCGGACCGGTGCGGACGGAGCTTGAAGATGAAAAGCACGAGTGCAGTCGAGATGGCGGTTGTTGAAGAAGGACTGCCGAAGTGTTGTGGATGCGGGAAGCCGGGCACTGAGGCGAGTCCGCCGAGAAAGAATCCCAGGATCAGCGCTGCTTTGGGGAAAATGGGACGTGGGTTTTCGGCTGGGCTGGCCTGAATTCCCGTAGCTGCAGCAAGGCATCATCGAGGGGATGTGCGGTGCATGTACTCTGTACAGTACAGTCTACAGCATACGGCAAGGTACCCTGTACCGCCAGGCTACGTCCGGGGCTGTATTATTAATGGACCACCTTGCTGCTATATTTAGCCCAACGCTGGCTCTGTCTCTCCTGTCTGCGCGTGCCGGAGTGGGGCGCGCCAGTGTGACAACGGTGCGGCGTCGTGCTGCCCAGGTACCGGCTACAAGTGCGATGGATTTGATGGCAAAGCACTGCAGGGCACTACAGGGCACTACAGGTAGTGCAGCTCAGCGCTGTGGTTGAGCTGTGGAACTCCATCGTTCTAGCGCCCTGCTGCTACGGTACATGCCATGTCATGTACAGCGCTGTAGGTTCATGTTGGTGTAGAATGGATGGATTCATGTCGATGATGGAACGCTCAAGTCGACATGAATGAATGGGGCCGAATACAATTTCAACGGCTCTGCGCCCCAAGGTAGCGGTACAAACGCAAGCGCAACTGCAACTGCAGCCAGCTGCGATGAGTTGCAGCAATCAATAGGCACTCAACTCGTACATGTAGCCGTCAGCAGCGGTACCCTCCACCACGAAGTAGCAAAAGCTAAACACTTGTGCCCCCCCCTCCTCATTCCAAGCTGCCATAAACCCTTGCCTTTGGACGAGCGACAGACCAGGCCAGACCAGACCAGACCAGACCATGCCGCATTGATCCGTGGGTCGCCTCGTCCTAGCATCCAGCAGGTATCAAGTAGAGGGTACTCACTCGTACGGGGGCTGCTGAAGCGGCACTGGACGGCGCCGCGATGGCGCTGAAAGGCGCTGGCCGGCGCGCTGCAAAGGCTCAAGGCTGGTTGGAATCATGGAAATCAAATGAGTCGCGGCACAAGCCAAGTCCAGTGCTGGGAAAGCTTGCGAGTTGAGGGTCCTGTCCCCTCTCAATCTCCATGATGCCTCAGATCCCCCTTGTTAGTCACGCTGGCCCCCCCTCCCTCACAGCACAGCGGATTTGATGGGACGAGATTCATCCATGGGGGTTCCTCTACGGAGCACCAGGCCTAAGTGATACAAGTACAGGTACCAGCACTAACCATCACGCGTGGTTTGTGGGGATGCGGTTGTGCTGCGAGGGCGCATGTTTTGGTTCCTTGGCGATGACGACGCTGGCCGGCCTATTGTATCGTTTTTTTATCAGATCAGGCTGTTGTTGTTATTTTGTTTCTGCCCTTTCACTTTGATTCGTCTTCATGCTATATTGCTGGATGATATGACCGGCTGAGCCGGGCAGAACCGCAATGTATGTCATGTAAGTAATGTACTCTGTCTGTATGATTACCGCACGTCTGTGTAAGTCGAAAACCGCCCAAAAAAAGGGTTTCCAAATCAGAATGGCGTTTTGTTAGTGGCGATGCCAGTTGATGGTGGCGCGTTTGGCTGCGCGTCATACGGCCGGTTTGCACGGCCGACGGGCAAAACCTTTGAGCCATTCCCATGCGCGTACGAGTACGAGTTTCAGTTCGGAAAGTCTTTTTTTTTCTTGTGCTGTTGAAAACCAGTTTGCTTGATGTGATTTGATTTGATTTCTTTTTCCGGGCTTGCGGCCGCAAGAACTTTAGGATGGCGATGGGAAAGCCGGAGTCAAAAAGGCAAATCGGGGGGGCTAATGCACTGCCAAGGTACGGCTAAGGCAAGGTATCTGCCAGAACAGGTACCACCGCGCTGGGATTTCCGTGGCTCTCCGTGGCTCAAGGTCGATTGTGTATGCTCCGGACCGGTTCTTGCATGAAACGGCTCCTTTTCGCAAACGGAGCAGCCTATTGTGTGTAAGTCGAGAGGTGTATAGGAGGGAGTGCTGCATACGAGTCTTTGGGAGGTGGGAAGTGCATGGAGGCGTAGGTACGAGTAGGTAAGCGCATAGTCAGAGATTACCAAAACCGTCCGTTGCTATTTTCCTCTGCAAGAATACCTGTACCTATCCAGTAAGCATTGGTTGATTGATCTTGGCTACCTACCTACAGCATTCCGTACAGCCTATGGCATCATGTATGTACATTACCTGTAAGATTATCCAAAAGAGCCTGTAGCATTCAATTACTTTACAGCACTGTACAAGTACGTTGGTTCCATGTCAGGCTGGCTTCCAGATGCGGCCACGCCACATGATGCCATGAGACGCGAGCCGTGTATCTGATTAGAGCTCGAGGGAAAGACTTTGCGATCGCCCGGCCTTTGTCTCCTGTCATCGGCTGCTAGTGCAATACAACGTCAGGTACGAGTACATGGACTTGCATTATTTCAAATTCTTTTGGCTCCATCCATCTCCTCAATTCAATTTCGTCCCCCCACTGGGCGGCACATACCGCTCAGCTGCTACTGGTGCTCATCTTGCCGACATAACCCGGCACAAACAGAGAGAAATAGGGCCTAGCTGAACTACCTAGTAGTATGAGTAGCGCTCCAGCATATTCATGGTCAAGTCTATCCTCCAGGTCAAGTAGGTACTGTAGGTTCAGCCATTGGAAGGGGACCACCAAGGGACAGGGACAGGGACATGGACAGGGGGGCTTGAACAGCATGTTTCTTTTTGGACATGTCGGGTGGGCTGCAGTACAGGATGGTGCATATCTCGGTTACGTCCATGATTCTGCAGGAGAAAGGCCAAAGAATATGCACGCAGCCGGATGGAAGCCTGCCATTGTCGGCGCTGTTGGATTATTTTGTCTTTACCGTGTTACAGCGTGTTTCTCTACATTTCGTTCTTCATTCATCTAGATGGAATGCACAGCAGAGCTTGATCATCATCTGACTTTTGTATTTTAATTTTCCGTGACACCACGTGGGATCACGCTTATTGATGACTCTCCGTCTTCTTGCATTTTGCATCAACCATCACAAAAACAACATCCATCATTTGTATAAAAGTCGACGAAAAACGAAGACCCAAAACCACCTACCTAATCAGGCTCTTCCAGCCCGAGGTGAACGAGACTCCCGCCAAGTCTTTTGCCACCCAGAAGTACCCCGGCATTCGGCTGCGATCATCTTCTAGGTTACTGCCACGGAGAACAATTGAAGCTACGGCTTTTTGCTCCACGCCTTTTGTAATGCATGTACTTTTGTACCTTATACTCCGTGACCACACTCGGGGGGGTTTTTACCTTTTTCGTTGGGGGTACAAACACAGACACAAAATCCAAGCTTCTTTCGGATATAACATATCAGTTCAAATCCATCTTTACCATGTCTTCTTCATACGTTGTAGGCCGGATATAAGCCCCCGTGGCCTCTGCCTCAAAGAAGCTCATGCTTACGTACATGTATCCGGCAAACCCATCCAGCCCGGCAGTGTTTCTTTCCCGCCCGCCCGCAACAAGCTGCCAACGGGCAAGATGTGATGGAAGAGAGAGAGCAAGGAAAAAAAAAGACGCGATGAGATGCACAGCCCAAGCCTTCTTTCTGCTTCACCGTTTCTAGCGCCTTGCCTTATGCACGAGCGTATTCGGATCTGATAGCAGCACACACTTTCACTTTCACTAGTTAGTAGCCAGCCAGCAACATACCTGTCCGTGTGCTTGTGTGTCTTAATGGTTGTTCGGAACGCCGCACAGCAACTATTAGACGGTGTATTCCGAACCGCAGCAGCAACACACTGACCATGGCATGGCAGGGCAGGGCAGGGCAGCATGCACAGCTGGCCGTTTCGGTTCGCCACCATGTCGGGATCAAGACCAGGGGTCAGATTTCCCTTTGTTGCGAGTTGACTGTCATCATCCGTCCGCGTTGAGATTCCCTGCTCCGCCCCCCCCCTACCCCTACTAACTGCTAGTTACGGTTATGTACATGCCTGCACGCACAGTAGCTTTTTGGGGATATGCCGTTGGAAGGAGACCTATACTGTACATGATGCCCATGTGGCATCACAGAACGAAAGAGATGGGTGGTAAGAGGTTGCAACCAGACCAGCCAGAGACATCGTGCCGTGCTGATGGAAGGGGAAAAAACGATGAAAACCCCCCCCCCCCCCCCCACTCAGCCCTAAGCAAGCCCATTGCAACGGTACGAGTACTTGTACAAACAACTCAACTCTCGACGCCAAGTCACAGTCACAGTCACGTCTCTCTCTCTCTCTCAAAAAAAAAGGGTCGATTGGCCGGTTGCCCAACTGCCGGTTTGGCCCTCCGGTGGCCGGCCTGCGCGGTCCATCAGAACCTTGATGCTTCTATAAATAATCACCCACCTTGCGCATGGTGCCTGTTTAACGCCTCGATTCAACTTAGTCCAACGAATAGTCAGTCCCCCTTGTTGTGGTAAATCCCCTCTCTCCATTCTCCATTCTCCATTCTCTCTCTCTCTCTCTCTCTGTCTCTTTTTATACACCCCCCCGTTCAGGGTCGTACGATTGCTCGAGCACATAATACTAATACCCAGCTTCGGTAGCAAGTACATCCAACTTCCTCATCGAGCCCCCAAAAAACCCCATGACAGCCAATGCCGCAACAAGCAAAAACCAAAAAAAAAAATGTCACTGCTCTCTCTCTCCCGGACCCATCATCTAATCGAGCCCGTCCCCAATCTCCATCTCACTGCCTTTGGCCTCCGCCAAAAAAAAAAAATGCCACCCGCCTACCAACACTCCCACGTTTCTTCCGGGCTCCCAACTACCTAGTAATGAAAACCCAAGTCAAAAGAGGAGGGGCGATCCATTTTCCCCAGCCTCCCCCCCCCTAAACCCGGGCTCTTCTAAAAACAGGTCTATTAAACCCCATGATGTGATGCTTCTTGTTTCCTTGTTTCCCTTCAGGTGTAATTCCGTAGCTTAGTGGGAAACAACGCAAAATCGGCTTACCTGTTGCTGGACTGGTGAGCAGGTTCCACTTTGTCTCTGCCAAGGCGGAACTTCCAGTCCATGCCTGTCCAAGGCAGTAGTACTCGTAGATGGTTGTAGCTCGCGGCGGAGTACTCCGTACCCTTTACCCGTTCCGAGATGGGTTACACACACAAAACCAAAGCTGTTCTAGCTCGACCACTGGAACGTTGGGGGGTTTTGGGGTTTGTAAGAGGCAGAGAGCTCGCGTGGCTTCAGGCCATCTTGATAGTTGCTGGACGCCAAGCCTTTCACAGGAACGCCCGTTTGGGCAAGGAGTCTACCAACCCTCTCATCAAAGACGATGAATTTCCTCAAAAAGCGAAAGAAGAAAGTGAATAAAACAAATAAATAAAACATGAAACAAAATAAATCCTGATCCCTCCAATCCCGGTCCTCATTCCAAGCAAGCTCCTCGTCTCAACCCACGTGCTGTTTCACAGCCTAGTGGCAAATCAGTTGCCAACTCTCGCGACACTTCCAGCAACTCTCCCCAAGCATGCAGCCGCTGGCCGTTGCGTCGAATCACTCCCCAGTCTTAGCCTTTACCCGGCGTATTACATACATTGTATTGCTTACTGGGGAGAGCGGAAAATGCGCGACCTTTTCCACACCATCGGGATACTTTATCCGGCTCGACGCAATGCCTGGTGCCACATGCTAGCTAGACACATGCTGGAGATACGCAACCTTCTGCCGACGACTCCGTGCCATGCCATGTATACCCAATGTGGCTCTAGCTCACCCTCGCCTGTTCCCGTATCCCCCAAGTGTCGGAGAAAAAAAGATGGGCGTAAGACCAGAAGGAGGAGAAAAGGAGAAAGACGACAACAAGGCTATGCCCCCCCCCCTTCTCCTCCTCCGTTGGCAGCTTACTTTCTGTCGAGATCTACCCCCACAATTCGCAGGACACCAAGATCGCTATACGCCAAACAGTAGCGGGTCGGCGCCCAAGCCACCACTGGACATGATCCGGCCGTCTTGAACGTGTGGACGTGCTCCCCCGTCTCGACGTGCGTTACTTCCAGTCCGTTGCCTGTTGGGATGATGGATCAGCAGAGCGTCCGGAACTTGGCCAGCCAATACAGAGGGCATTGTGTCGGGCCGCCATTGTCGTCCGAGACAGATAACAGCGGCCTCCCAAGTCGCTGACTTACCTTCGTCACTGCCACCGACGACGTAGCTGCCATCAAATGTGAAACCTGCGTGTGGTGCATAGTCGTTAGCTTCCAATGAGCCCCGTCAAGCACGGCCACAGCCTTCGGACTTAACTCACTTATGCTCCTCACTGGGCCCGTCATCCTCGTGATCGTCCTCTGGCACAGCCAGTCTGTGGTATCCCATAGCGCTATAATGGAGTTTGCTCCTCCCGTGGCGAGATACCGGCCCATGGGCTGCAGCTCGGCGGTCAGGCATGAAGCGGTATGACCCTTGAGGGTGAACTCTGCGGCATCGTCGCCGTCTCCTAGACGCAGTACCGGCTCAAACTCGGGATATGATAGTATTCTAATCTGCCCTTCGGACGTGGTGACAAATATCTTCTTCCCACTCCAGCAAAAGGCAATCTGATTCGTTTGCACTGTCTGCTGATGTGAGGCTAGGGGGGTCGACTGTGTTGGCGATAGAACAAAGATGTTATCCGACTGGAAACGGTGAGCCATTCCTGAACAAGCATGATCGACATGATGGGAGAAAGAGATGAGGACATACCCTGTTTCCGACGAGCAGTGTCTGCCCATCTGGGGCCCAAACGAGCGTCATCGCGTCACCTAGACCTGTGACCTCATTGAAGCAAGCCTTGGTCCTCACATCCCAAAACCGTACCACTCCGTCACTGCTTAAGCTGCACAGCTCAGCATCTTTTGTAGGATTAAAGGCTACTTTTTCGATGCCTGCCTGATGACCTTTGAGCTCCGTTGAAAACTTGACATTGGGTTTCTCCGGGTTCCCTACAACGCGTGTCAATCTTTCCGTCTTCTTTTTGCTTGGCATTGTTCCCTTCTTTTCACTCCGAACACGCCTACTTACAGACTCGCAGTGTCCTATCTGCTGAACCCGTGGCGATCAGAGTCCCAGGGGGATTCCATGCAATTGATCTCAAACTGTGCACCGTGTCAGATCTTGCATCTCGAACAAGCCATTGAAACACCACTCACTTCAACGGGCCAGCCGCCCGTGATGAATTCGGATCAGTATATGGCTGACTCCTGAGATTGTTAAAGTAGGTTGGGAACCTGTCCTTTGACAGGCTCATTCGGGGTCTGAGAATCGGCGCCATGGCCGCACGGTTCTGCTTGAATCAGCCTTCCTCTCACCGAATCGAGGAGGCTGCGCGTGAGTCTACGTCCTCTCTCGTAGAGGTGTGACAATCGGAAGCAATAGATGCCTTGATTACGCGTCCAGAGGCCAATTGAGTGAGATAATAGTCTTATCTGTGCTGTTACAACTTCGAATGAATCTCTCTCAGAGATGCGGCCGATGGGAGTCAGTATTCGAATATGCACGTCGTTGATGAAGGATGGTGTAAAAGGCTAGGCCAGGCTGAAGGCGACGAAAGACAAGCCACTAGTGAGATGTGTGGCTAGTTTGCATGTGTGGCGCAGTAACAAATCTCGCTACTTGAGCTTGGGCAAACGTCTCGAAGCATCTTCGTCATGAACATCATCTCTATATCTTCTCAAAATAGCATGCGTGATCAAATCTTTCATCATTATTATTCTCGTTCAAGTGTGATTAAGCGGTGGGTAATATTCGTGCATACTAGAGGCTCGTAAATGGAATGGCAAAACAAATGCAAGATCGCGACAAACACATCAAACAAGACAAAACACGAGAATGAACATGCATAAAACAAAACGCCGACAGAAAAACTCTCTCTAAGACTCATACAATTCAATTGTCATTCCGATTTGAAAGCCCCTTCCATAAACCAATCGTGATATGTGTACACTTTTTCTATCTCAGCCTTTGCCGGCTGAGGGGCGAGCTTCCTGATTCCTTCCTCTCCATGGTCACAGCTCGTCAGGGCTCCTCCAACTGGATCGAAGCGAAGCTTCAAAGAGCATCCGATGACGCGCCCAGCTCGTTCTCCCAATGTTTGGTCACTCGTTACCGGGGCCACCACAACAAGCCGACTCCAAGACTGGCAAACCGTTACCTTTCCTTTCCATCGCCCAAGACTCCAAGGCGCCTGCCTGTATCAAAAAAACAAATAAAGAAGCGCAAAACGGGATTTCCATGCTGAAATATTGAAAAACCAGACAATTGCAGACATAACCTGCTAGATATCAAACAATGAGAATGGTGATGCAATGTAGCCGAAATAATACGGCTCCCAGACCAAATGCTTCATAGCCGCTCATAACGATGCAGGGCCCAACAGGCCCAAACGCAGTATGCAAATAAAGCGACATATTATGGCGTGGTCGTGTTCACTTTCGTTGAGCAATTAGGTCGTGAGAGAGTCCAACGAATAGTGTTCGTATCCCAACTCTGAACGGAACTCGCAGTAATTCAAGACGCCAAAGTTGGGGGGGGAACAATGCGAGTGACAGCCAGCGTCGTCATAATCATGAAATTTGGTCCAAAGACAGGTGAAGATCCTCGATGCCGAATAACGACGCGTTCTTCTTGGCCCATTGGCGAGAAAGAATAGAAGCTGCAGTGGGTGTTAGCAACGAGATAGACACGCTGTCATGGATGAATGGATATCAAAATACCTTTGAGGAACTTCTTGCTAGCATACTTCTTGAAGAATGCTTCGTGAATGGGAGGTCGCGCTAGATAGTCAACCATGAGGTTGACAACAGGCTCGACCTCCTCCTCTGTGTAACCTGCATAATAGGCAATAGTTGCATCCTATCATGGAACATGTTAGCTAGTGCCATTGATAAAGTAGACCCGATTGTTTGTACGTACCCACTCGCCACGATCAAGCATGAGTCGCGCCAGATACATGGAAGCAGCAGCAACATGACTGGGGCGGTATGCCATGAATCGGTGGTCCAGCAAGCTAATCTCCGTAAGATACTTGCCAATGGTACGTGACTGGATATCATAGTTGTCCGCTTTGGAGACTCGGCGAAGGAAGTTCATAGGGTTGGGATAGCTGAGATCATAGTTAAGGGTGCTAAGAATGAAACGCTCCGCACTCAAAATCTCAGCCTCGCTGAAACCGTCATCGGCAATCTTCTTGAAGTTCTCCACGTGAGGAGACAGGACCTCTTCGTATTTGGAGGCAATAAACATGGCAGTGATACCGACAAGCTGGAGGCGGTCGAGTTGGACAACCTTTTCGGAGAGGAATCGATCGATGATGTTGACGGCCAGGAACAGAGTTTCGGGAAGCAGATGGAACCGAGTGTGAACCTCAATAAGCCAATCAATGAGAATTCCTCGCGTCTTCCACTCGAGGTCGTCCTGGTGAGACATGTAATCAGAGTTGGGAACTGATTGAACCTCGAGGTCTCTCAAGTAGTCGAAAATATCATTCGCATATTCGGCAACCATCAGAGGGTCGTCCAAGTCCTCCTCGTCGAGACTCTTGATGTTAGCAATCAGCTCGGCTTTTGCCAACTCCTCGGGATCTGGTTGTGAAGCGGCTTTGACTGGGGCGGCTTTGACTGGGGCGGCTTTGACTGGAGCGGCCTTGACGGGGGCAACTTTGGAGGAAGCAGCCTGAGGAGCCTTATTCTCAGAATCAACGACTTCAGAGCGAGCACGCTTCTCAGCATCCAGATGTGCCTTCTTGCGAGCGGGCTCCACAGCCTCGCGTACCACCTCCTCCTTGGGTGCAGCCGCCGGGACCTTTCTCTTGGGTGGAATTGTACCAGCTCCCGACTTCTTGATCTCTGGCTTCTTCACTTCCTTGCTGCTCAATGCTGTCCGACCAGCGGCAGGGCGAGTGCTCTTTTGAATGCCCGTAGGCTGAGCAGCCTTGGACACCAGACCCTTGGCCGCAGCCTTCTTTCCCTCAGCGGCATCGGTTTTGCTGACATTGCTGACATCGCCAAGTGCAGCGCGTTTCCTAAGTCCGGTGGCAGTGGTGGTGCTAACAGCTGCCTTCTTCGTTTGAAGGCCAACTTTGGAGGGAGGTGCTGAATCGTCCACGCTAAGAGCCGCCGCCTTGGCCCTGGTCATACGCGTGGTGGTGCTGTTCTCGTCATTCTCGTTAGAGATAACGCGGGTACGGGGTCGTCCCTGGGCATCGCGTCAGCACTCTTTCGCTGCAAGGTGAGCTCAATGTCGATGGCAAGAAATACTCACGGGAGGCATATTCGAAAATATGAACTGTGATGAAGAACTAGTGGTGGTGTTAATAGCTTCGAAGCCTAACATTGTTTGCCCCAACATGTCAGCCGAACAGAACGCGTCGAGAAGAATAAAAATCGAAAGCGTGCAGACGATGAAGATAATTTGATTCAACTCAAGGGAGTTGCCAGAAGATCTCCTGAGACATTCATCTGAAGACAAGGGGGTCGGAATGTTACTGACCTCGAGATGGCGAGGTTAAATTAAAGAACCGACACGCCTAGTGAGGCAGGAATGCTGCGAGAAATAGAGTCAATGACTGGGCTAAGGGTATTTGAGTTGAACGGGCTCGATGCCAAGTAGAGTGACTATGGGTAACAGTAAAGGACAGGCGGCCGGAAGGGTATCAACAAGCACGATTGGAGATGATGCAAAGTGTTTATGAAAGAGGATAGTGGTGAGGGCGAGGTGTGTTTTGAGGAGAAACGCACAGGGAGCGCGGAGTGGGCCGGCGCGGATGGGGTACGTACCTCGACACAGTTGGCGCGGCTCGCGATTTTGATCCAAGGCAGCGTTGCCAGGCAGGGGAGAAGAATGATGTGTGGGCTAAGGCAGAAAAAAGAGAAAAAAAAGAAAAAGAGCCTATGACAATGCACCCTTTTGTGTATGAAGCTAGCCAGGGCTAGGTAAGGAACAAAGGGAGGAGAGAACACTATGCGAGTGCTGTACTTGTATGAGTAGTCATGCGTTGAGGTGAGGGCCAGCTGTTGATATCACTATCGCTTCGGGACAGCGGTGAAGAAAGGCTTTTTGCTACCCGGCCGGTGAAGAGATGCTGGTCTGGTCTGGTCTGGTCTGGTCAGGCCGATTGACGCCGGGTCGAGGCTCAACGAGTGGACTAGGATGGCGATACAGGGAGGGGAGAGGGAGAGAGAGGATGTGTGTCGATACGATACGGTGGGATACGATACGATACTGCACTCCGTAGAGAAAGAAAAAAAACAAGACTAAGAGACAGCTTCCAGAATTGCACGAGTACGGATACCAGCCAGAAGCGGGCGGGCGACGAGTGGAGGCCAAAGCGACGACTCACAACGCGCCGTTTGGCGGAATCTCGCGGGGCCGGGGGGTAGAGGCCGGAATAGGCCAATGTCAACAGTAGCAACGGCAGGGCAACGGGGGTCTGATTGGCTGGACGCGATCGCGCGAGCTTTTTTTGCAGTGGCTGGATGCCTGGCAGTCTGTGGCAGATGCCCGTGTGGAACTGAGCCTCGCTGTGGCTGGTCGCGCGGCCCTAAAACTTGAAAAGTCAATGCCCTGCGCCAGGCTGGTCTGTGCTCTGATTAGGTAATTGCATAGTTGAGCTCTTGCGCCGGGGTCCAATGCAAGCGATTCGGCACAACGTTTTTCAGAGCTCCGTTGAAATTTCAACGTGGGACATCCGAAAAGACAGCCGCCAGAAGTCGTTCGATTGCGACAGCGAGGCCAAACTGCTCGACGACGACCGGCACGGCGCTTGCAGACTTTGTGAGCCGTTGGGCATCGTCTTGTCCAGCTCCCAGCGCACTCCAGCTTTCGTTTTAAGAGGCTGCTCTGGGCCAATTGCTGGGCTGTGAGAACTTCGAGCACTGACAAGGTCCCCCCCACCACGAATGTCATAAACGATCAGAATAGGAAATCACCATATCCCTCGATACCAAACCTATACTTTCTTCTCTTCCTGGCCAACTACAGGACCAACATGCTGCAGCCAAGGATGTCCATTGCCCCGGCTCTTCGCAGCCGCAGCCTCCTCGCTGCCTTCAACAATCTCTCCTTGAGGGCTTATGCCACCAAGTCCAAGACCAGCAGCAGTGCCGGCCGTGCCAGTGAGACGTCAGCCAGCACCAATAGGCCCTCGAACCAATCCGTCATGTTGCGCACCTACAAGCCCAGGACTCCCGGTGTTCGACACTTGCGGCGACCTATAAACGACCACCTCTGGAAGGGACGGCCATTCCTCCCTCTGACAATTCCGAAAAAGGGCCAGGGCAAGGGTGGGCGAAACGTGTATGGTAGAATCACCGTCAGGCACCGAGGAGGTGGTGCCAAGAGGAGAATACGCACAGTCGATTTTATACGATGGCGCCCTGGACCGCATCTGGTCGAGCGGATCGAATATGACCCTGGACGTAGCGCTCATATCGCTCTGGTCACAGAGCAAGCCACTGGACAAAAATCGTACATTATTGCTTCCGATGGACTGAGAGCTGGTGACATCGTCCACAGTTACCGCGCCGGTATCCCACAGGATCTCCTCGACAGCATGGGTGGTGTTATCGACCCCGGTATTCTTGCGGCCAAGACAGCCTTCAAAGGAAACTGCTTGCCAATGCACATGATTCCAGTTGGTACGACGGTCTTCTGTGTTGGCTCTGCTGCAAAGCGAGGGGCCGTCTTCTGTCGGAGTGCGGGTACTTCTGCCACAGTGGTGAACAAGAACGAAGAGACAAAGGATGACGGTACAAAGATCATGACTGGAAAATACGTCGAGATCCGGCTTCAGAGCGGCGAAGTCCGCCGTGTGAGCAAAGATGCGTGCGCCACCATTGGAGTTGCCAGCAATGTCCACCACCATTATCGCCAACTCGGCAAGGCTGGTCGAAGCCGGTGGTTGGGTATTCGACCTACCGTCCGTGGTGTGGCCATGAACAAAGGTAATTTGCCCACATCTTTCTATTTGTGCAAGCAACTAACAGTTGTCCATAGTTGATCACCCTCACGGTGGTGGTCGAGGAAAATCAAAGGGTAATCGTCATCCTGTGACGCCTTGGGGCCGACCGGTAAGTTTCAAGATTCATTCTCAACTATACAATACATGGGGGAAAACTAATAGAAATATCACTATAGACCAAGAGCGGTTACAAGACTCGCCGTACGCACAACATCAACAAGTGGGTTGTGACGCCCCGGCCACGCAACCATGGCAAGCGGAGAGACAAGAGGTCGTCCAAGGAGTGATTTTGAAGCAGTCCATTAGATGCCGTGATGAGGGGGAAGATGACATGAAGCTATGTATATGCGCCGGCAGCAAGCACTGTGCTGTAGCTCTGCGCGATTGTATATTATGTGCTATTATTGATATGCCTAGTGAGGCCAAATATTTTACGAACACACGTTCAAAAACTGCCACGAGCAATACATGTTTGAATGTGAATATCAGTGGGCTGTAAGAAATGCATTCGAAGACGCCAAAATGCATGGCTGTCCCATGCAAAGATATACAAAGATGTACGACTGTAACGGCTCGGATTCATCATCTCATACCGTGAGTATCTCCTATCTACCCAGCGTCTTGAGGATGCTCTGTATATTGTTTATCTTAGCCCACGAACGTAGCGTGTCCCCGTAAGCGCCTTTCAGCTCAATATCAGCACCATTCTCAAGCAGCAGCTGAACAACAGCTTCATGTCCTTTTATAGTTGCTTGTAAAAGCGCCGTTGACATATCTCCATCTCTTGCCCAGATATTAGCACCATTCTCAAGCAGCAGCTTAACAACAGCCCCATGTCCGTTCTCAGCTGCTCTTATAAGCGGCGTTGACCTAACTGCGTCTCTTGCCTCAATATCAGCACTATTTTCAAGTAATAGCTTAACAGCAGCCTCACACCCTCTTCTAGCAGTTAGTAAAAGGGGCGTCTGCCCACAATAATCTCTTGGCTCCATGTCAGCGCCATTTTCAAGCAGCAGCTTAACGATGGCCTCATGCCCTTTCTCCGCAGCCTTGGAAAGCGGCGTCTGTCCGTCTTTATCTTCTACCTCGATTTCAGCCCCGTTCTCAAGCAGCATCTTAACAATAATCTCATGGTTGTTTGTAGCAGCCCACAAAAGCGGCGTGTGGGAATCATATCTTGCCTCGATATCGACCGCCTTCTCGAGTAACAGCTTGACAATGGCCTCGTGCCCATGCTGGGCGGCCCATGAAAGCGGCGTCTGATTCGAATTGTTCTGAAAATCCGCATTGACGTCGCTTCGAGCGAGTAGCATCTTAACAAGCGCTTCGTGACGGCCCATCACCGCGTGCCATAGCACCGTCCGTCCTTGATCATCTGCCAAGTCTGCCGTAAAATCGCTTCGGGTGAGCCACAGCCATACAGCATCTCGGTCTCCAGCTTGCGCCACGCGGAATAATTCGCTAGTAATCTGGGCATTCATCACTGATGATAGCCATTTTCTGCCGTAATTGCCGTCGTCGATGATGCTCTGTTTTCCGGAACCTTCGGCTTGACCCGTAGGCGTCATGCGCCCCCTTCGTATACATATCTTTCTCATCGGATATTGCCATCTTCGGAACTTGTAGAGGTCAACGCTTTCAAACTCTTCACTCCGAGCTCGTTCAAATAGTTCCATTGTCAGAGCTGTATCTTTCACAAAGATGGCGATAGGCTTGGTTGCTCTATCCCTCTCTGCACATTGAAGAATTACCATCCCTAGCCCTCCACGAGCCAGACCAATAAATCGGGCTTCTAGATGTATTCCTCTGCTGCTCACAGTGAGAGGCGCGCTGGAGTCACCAAAAGGACTGTAATGAATGACGCCGTCAGAATTGCTAAATGCATCTGGAGATGTGGCCAGAAGTCCACCGCGGGTATCTGAGGATTTCCAGGCGAGTATACTGTGGTCGGTCGAAATCTTCATGATTTCCTCTTGAAGCCTAATAAAAGCTCGTTCACCTTCTCCATAGAGTAACGGCATATTAATGCCAAATATGCCCATCAAACAATAGGCACGATCTTCAACCCTCGTAGTTTTCCTCCAAGAAGCCCAGGACATCCTTTGCGCAACAGTAGCTGTTTCAAGATCAGCACCGGATAAGATGTTGACGGGGATGCGCGTTTGAGCAGATACCGCTTCTTGTAAACTTTTCTTCGTCCCCAGGTCGTTCCAATCCTTGTCGAGAAAGTAAACCTCAGCAGGTGCGAGCAGCTCTTGCAAGGTCCAACCCCTCGTAAACCATTCGCTCTTTTTAAAGGTATACATTGATTGCACGTCAGAGAGATATGCATAGCATCTTCCAGCCTTATAATACCAAAGGTACATGGAGTTGATTGCCTCGGATAGCTCTGCGCTACTTGTCTTGTCAATGCAGCACGAGTCGATCCAAACATATTGAAATGCGTCAGATTTTGCTCTGACACAGCATCGATTTATCTTTTCGAAAGCCTTTATCTTGTTCTCATTCGTAAAGTCCTCCTTCTCCCATATCCGGTTCTGCACATCTTGTAGATTGAGTTCGTAGTTATACCATCTATGCGACAGAATGGCATAGTTTGGAATTTCGCCAAATCCAAATTCCTTAATCTCCAGTGTGACGGTATCAAGCAGTCTCATTGTATGACCTATATCTCGTCTATTATTCGGCCGATTCGTAGAATAATTGGATCGAAAAGATTGGGTATTCAATCGATCTTGATTTAAAAAGTTCGCTTCTTCCTATTCCTGCGACAATAGATCTTGACGCAGCCAAAGTCGGCAGACTCGACGGCGCTGGTTTTCCGTCTCAATGGCAGGTTTTGGTTTTGGTATATACGGCTTGGTTCAATTGCAAAGAGTGGTCCGAAAAGCGCGCCGATTACGAGAAAACTCATTACACAAGGTGTGTGTCTCTGAAATAACATCGTTGGGCAGCGTTGGGCATAAAGGAGAATATCAAATCCAGCCGCTTGGTGATACCATCACAGCTGCCAACCAATAACAATTGGATTACTTTGGTAGATAGGTACCTAGGTACTATACGTTCTCATGCTGGTACGACACGATGGTACCCAACAGAGCCTCGTACTAAGGGGATCATGAGGTCCCTTGGACTGCATGATCCCGGGCTCATTGCATATAAGATGAGTTCGTAGCGATTCATTCTTAGTATAAAGAGAACAGAGGAGGATGAAGGAGTTTGAAGGATTTTCATTCTGTGTTAGTGTCGACTCTATCTACAACTCATGTGACTTACACTTGCCTCTATGAGAAGCGGATGACAAGGTCGATCCTATGCACCCAGCGCCCACTTTTGGCTCTTTGAACATTGGTCACAGTCTAAAAAAAAGGTCTTTCATCTCATGCCTCACTTACATCGAAAAGGAAATAATTTAAAAAAAAAAGATGTAAGGATATTTTGCCCAAAGCAATAACCACTGAGTTAGCAAAGGAGGGGCGGATCAGAAACACAAAGGGGTAGCGCCGTTACATTCAGGGAACATCAACAAAGCGCTTCACCTGCTGAAAAAGATCCAACTAATCCACTACTAGCCCATGAAGAGCATAATCTACACAAAGCAAATAGGCAACATGCTGCGAACCGTCTCTCCTATTTGCCATATGGATGTCTTGTTTTTTCGGCAGCCCAAAGGTGAGCTAGCCCGTTTTGTTCGTATATACGAGTATCTCCGCTTAAGGAGAGGCACATCTCGTGTAACCCTTGGCGCCTTGCATCCAAGAGAGATTGCATTGTATGATGAGGTAACGGGCAACTGAGCTTTGGTACTTGTTACTCCGTACTAAATGCCTGGCCACTGATTGGCGCCGGGTGCAATTGGCCAATTCTCAGCCATAATGCTAGCTATACGTGGACGGAGTACGCCGTCATTGGTCTTTTCTACAAAGGCAAGGGTGAACAGGGTAGAGCTGTAGAAGTGGTTTGTACTTCTAGGTCCTGGTCGGTTAGTAAGTACTAAAAGGAGCGGTACTGGTAGAGAAATACCTACCGGTAACCAATGGAACTGAATTGATATAGTAGTCATGAATTGAAACCTGAACATACTTGGCCTATGAGGGATGCTTGTCAATTTAACGTTGATTTAACCTCTTTGCAACGGTAAATCACGGCAGGATGGATGGACAAGTCGAGCCCAGCGGGAGAAGTGCCAAGAAGCCAAGAGCCGGCGCGAGCTACGTCAGAAAGAGAAGGGACAGGGGGCAGCGCTTGCCAAGAGTTTCCAATGCTCCTTCCAATGGCTGCTGGGGCACCGCTGGGAAGGCGCCAGCCAGCCAAGAGCACACGACCCACTTCCTCATCCAGATCGAACACATTCTGCTCCATGTCCAGAAGGTACGGGCGTGTGTAGGTACTCTCTCGTACCTGACTTTTTGCACTGCCGGCTTATTGCTGCTCCATGCTGCTAAACTTGGCCCATGCCAGCATCGCAGGTGACTCCGGAGTACCGGCTCACCTCCAGATTCTTCTTACACAACCGTCACCTGCTGCGTATTTCCCGGGTATCGTCTGGTAGGGTCTACTGCGTATCTTAGCACTTGGTCCTAATATAGTACGTTTTGCCCGAGAGGTAAGCATCATGTTCCGATTCTTTGAGCACGGCCACTTTGTCTCCTCCACTGCACAGACACCAAAGCCCTAACTACTGCTAATCCTCTCCCCCCCCCTTCTGCTCTCCTCGAGTTGGAATCAACAATGCTGTACTTAAGGTGACAGACAATTCTTCACATCCTCTTTTTCTTTTCTTTCTCCCACTGCTCCGTTTCGCCTCTCCTTATTTCGGTCAGGCATGCAGCTAGCATGACTTGATTCATCGCAACAAGCTTCATCCCCATTCAAAACCCACCCCCTGCGACATGTGTGAGACTGCAGACAAGAAACAGCAGATCCGATTACTTACCACCTGTTAGCCGCCTCCAGTGGCCATTCGCGGGCTGTGCAGCGGTTGCCACGCGTCCCCTTGGATCGACACCACTGTGGAATCCAGCTCGCCTCGATAAAACCGAGAACCGAGCAAATCGATGCCCTTATAGCGGCGCCACATCCACTGAAGCGGAGAGAGATCTGAGCCTGGCCACACCACACCAAACCCCGGCCTGGGCCTCTTAACTTTAATTCATTCCTACCTCCTTAACCTGTTGCTAGGTGGTCAATCCTTTATTATACCCGCCGTTAGCCTCGCCGCTCTCTTATAGGCCCCTGGCCCCCTTCTCAACTTCCCTCTCCTGCTAGAAGCAGATGTCACCATATCGCAGAATGTCCCGCGCCGGGTCTGAGGCCAAGATGGGAAGACCCTCGATTAGACTCATCTCGTCATACATCTTCGACTGGATCATTCTCATTGTTGTTGCTGGCATCGGCTACGTCCTCGGTGTCATTACGCCCAACAAGCGGCCCTTTTCCCTGGTCAATCCAGACATCTCGTGAGTTTCATGTCACGTCTCTGTTGAGAAGAGGCCAACCGGATGTTGTCTTCGCACAGTCAGCTAACAGCAGCACCTTAGTTTCCCTTTTACAGAACATGAGACCGTCCCGGACTGGCTGCTCTTTGTCTTGAGCTGCGGCGTCCCTGCCGTCATCATCGTCATTGTCTCCATCATCTTTGTCCCTGGAGCCACAGTGCCCAAGAACACCCCTGCTTCACTGATATGGAAACGTAAGCTATGGGAGCTTCACATTGGCCTGCTGGGACTCCTGATGTCTGTTGCCTGTGGCTTCTTCTTCATCAGCGGTATCAAGAACATGTGTGGCAAGCCTCGGCCTGATCTCCTCGCACGATGCCTGCCAGACCTGGAGAACGCATCCAAGTTCCTGATTGGCGGCTTCCAAGGAGAATCCAAGTTGGGCAACAGCATTGGCCAGCTCTATTCGGCAGACATCTGCCAGCAGACTGACAAGGCCAAGCTCAATGACGGCTTCCGAAGCTATCCCAGTGGCCACTCTGCCGCCTCTGCGGGTGGCCTCCTCTATCTCTCACTCTTCCTTGCTAGTAAATTTGCCGTCACCATGCCATTTGTGGCAACGGGGACCTCTTCATCCAGCCACGACGTGCATGCCGCATTCCCTTCTCGCTTGGGATCTGCAGTCGAGCAGTACGACGACGAGGCATCCGCTCCCATGACGGGCAAAGGCGCAAACACGAACATCGCATACAACTCCAGCATCCAGTCTCTGCGTCGTCAGGCAGCAGCTCCCCCTATCTATCTCCTAGTCATCACTGTGGCACCATTTTGCCTCGCCATTTTCATAGCAGCTTCCCGCTGGTTTGATTTCCGACACCACGGTTTTGATATTTTGTTTGGCTTTTGCATTGGTGTCTTTACTGCTCTCTTCAGCTTCAGATATTATCATCTACCCATTACTGTCGGAGCTGGTTGGGCGTGGGGTCCTCGCAGTCCAGATAGGGCTTTCTGGGCTGGTGTTGGTCGACTGGGCTATGTTGGTGAAAAGGATGTTGAGCGTGGAATGGCCGTTTCTGCCAATTACGGAGTGTCCACGGATGTCGAAGCGCGAGGTGCTTCTCTTTCAGGGCCCGCAACGACGAGCTACAGGTCTCCGGTTTCGAGGAATGACCCCTACCAGGATGTCGAATTACACAATTTGAACGAGGGGACGAGCCAAGGGGCACAGCACGGGAATTGATTCGAGAGTTTTTAAATGATACCCATCTCCTAGCGAGGAGATTGCAGTAGGAAAACAAGGGAGAGTCCCTCGAAGGAGAAAATGGTCTTTTTTTGTTATCTTCTCCCTTTTCGAAGGGTCAGGTATATATATGTCAGGAATAGCTGTGCTCTAATATTAAACATGTAAATTTCGTCTACTTGGCTGTAACACCTCGACATTCGTGATTGTGTTGAGACACTTGAAGATGCATTCACGAAATTAAGTGGCATGGTTGAAGATGAGATCCAAATGATATAATTCTTCTGCTAGAACAACTACATCAATCCTTACAACATCATATTCACCTTACAGGACATCATACTAGACTGGGGCAAGAATCAGGCCAGGCATCAGGTTCATCACAGCATTAAAAGACAGAATACACATTAGTTTAATGGGCAAAAAGTTCAATGCGTACATAGAGATTCAAAAAGCCAGAGCTTGGTTTGTTCCCCTCCGCCGCCGCCGCCGCCGCCGCCAAACGCCTGTCCGTACAACAAAAAAACAAAGAAAAAGGGGGACCTATGTAGAGGGGGATTGAAAGAGGAGAAAGATGGGATGGCGTAAAGCTGAAGAGGTGAAGAATGGGAATAACAAGGAGAGCTTGACTCTGGGTAAACCGCGTAAAAGCATAATCATCGTGGCTCTCTTGTGCATAAAATTTTCAGTCCTTTCCTCATTTCCCCCCAAGAAAAAAATATTTCCCTTATTCCCTTTTTTTTTTCAAGTGTGTGAATTTGTATTTTCCCTTCTTTTCCGTCCCATCTCGCTCACATAGGTCCCTCAATCAGCCTCATGTTGCTGTTGTTTCCATCGACTCCCTCGAATTCGACATCATCGTCTTCTTCCTCCTCTTCCTCTTCCATCTGCTCCTCTCTGAAGCCAGACTCAATCTCCAGTTTGCGCAGTCTCCTCCGCATGTCATCTCTCTTCAGGTCCTGCCACCGGACGAGGGCCGCGGCGGCGTGTACTTTGAAGCCGTAGACGCGGGGGATGTATCGCTCGATGCTCTTGGAGGGGATGAGCGCTGGGTAGACCTGGAAGATGATGTTGTGGAAGGAGGTGCCGAAGTAGGCACCGTCGATGGAGGCGTGGCGAGACGACTTCGGGTTGTAGAGATCCTCGCAGCGGGCGCAGTAGAGCTTGACTGGTTTGAGGTTGGGGATGTCGGAGAGGCCCATGGGGAGGAGGGGGTGGGAGTGGCAGTTGACGCGAGGGCATTTTCCAAACTCGGCCTTCTTATACTTGTCGAGCTGTTTCGAGAACCGTCAGTTAACAAAAACCGGACTTGTAGACTGGGGAGATGAAGCCAAGGACGGGGGAGACAATACCATTTTCGTCAGGCCGCGCGTTGTGACAATGTATCGCGCGTGCACCAGGCCGTAGAGGTGCCTGGCCGAGCTCTCAATGGTCTCGCGCATATCATCGTCGCAGTCGAGGTCAAAGACATCCGTCACCAGATCGAGCGCATACTGGTAGTACTGGACCTCGGTGTTGAGGCCAGTCAGGTTGAAGCGATCCGTCAGGTAGTCCTCGTCGATCTCGCAAAAGTATTCGTTGCCTCTAGATGAGATGAACTGCGGAGGGCGGCGCGTTAGCTTTGGTCTGAAGTGCCTTTTTCATCCCGTTTTCTTGGTTTGGTATCACAATGGCATCGCGTCTTCCTCTCTGTGGGTTTGAACATGCACCAGCAGGACTTTGTTGCTGCCCATACAGCGTTGCATTGGGCTACGAATGGGAGGGGAGGCAAGGCAAGGGATAGATGGAGGGCGGATAGACAAGCCGCAGAGACGCAAAGGCAACTCACCCAGTCCCGCCAATAGCTGGTGTAGTCACTATCGGACTCGCTCACGTAGTCATCCATCGTAGAAGCACGAAAAAGCAGAGATGACGAAGAAAAAGAAGCAGCAGAGATTGAAGCTGCGGAAGCTGGACGAGGCTGCAAGCAACCAGGCAGCAAGCGTCAAAAGAGGGCGGAGAAAAAAGCCGGTCGGGGGGCGAGGCGATAATCGCAGAGTCGGAACCACAATTATGCCCGTGAGACGAGGGCGAGAGGATTCGAGATTTCCCGAGGCAGAGTCGCGCTGGGAGGCGAAGGGCAAGGGAAGGCCGTGAGTGTATCTCGACTTTTGGGAGCGGATGGCGGTTGGCGGTTGATGGTGGGGGAGCGGGATTGTTTCTTTGGGGCGATAACGTGACTGGGCGGTTGCTAGTGGCCAGCACTAACAAAGAGAGGCTCTGGCGAATCTGTATGGCTGGGTAGGTACGATAACGCTGGATTAACTGAGCTACGGTTAAGGAGAAGACAGTTGAGTCAGCGGTTAATTGTATTTACATATTGAAATATATACAGAAAAGAAATTAAAAATCACCTGATTCTTTGGTTAGATTCATAAACCAAATTCAAGCACTTGCGGATACGGCCTTTCCCTATCCTGATTAAGGCCCGTGTAGCCGCCATAGCACAACATGAAGCTCACGCAAGGGACAGGGGACAAGGAGCATCCCAGCTCTCATCTACATACCTAGGTCCCATGATAGGTACTCAATACTTTGTTTGTCAAGAAAGGTGGCAATATATACACTAGAATGTATATCCTTTATACATCTCGTCAGGCTGTTGCTCTTTTTTACCTTCTTTTACCCAAAACAAGCCCGCGTCTCATCCGTTTCGCCAATTCAAGCCCATAAAGACGACAGCCATCTAAGAAAGTAAAAAGCGAACAAGAAAATAAAAATAATCCCATCATCGTAATGATCAATATCCATCTCATGCATACACCCATCAGCGTCCCTCTGTGCGCTTTCGTCTCATCATTCATCCGTCCAAAGGACTAATAGTCGAGCCCATGCTGCTGGCATCGCTGGGGGACCGTGTATCAGACCCCGTTTCGTCGTCGCTGCCGTTCTTGTTGCGTCCATTGGTAATAAATCCCAGTCCCGTTACCGGAAGCTCGAGTCTGCTTGAGATACCATCTTGGTTGGACACCTGCGTCACATTGGCCATCTTCATGGCTTCTTTGAGAATCTCTCCGGTTTCATCCATGGCGGCTAGGAACCTTGCGAGTTCTTTGCACAGTTCCCAATCGCCTTCTCTTATTGCCCTGGTCAAGACCCGGACAGACTGCTCTAGGGAAGCGTCCAGCTCATCCAGCGTATGCAGGATGATGAGATACCCGCCCGCCGTCTTGAGCGATCCTCTTTGCAGTGATTCTTCAAATAGCTCTTGCGCTGGGGGGAGATAGGCAAAGAGCGTCTTCCACTGCCGGACTTCCGTTTTTCTTGTGCACTGTAACACGATGTCAAGGTACTCTTTAGAAGATGACAGTAGGGACAAGACACGCGGCAAGACGGCATCTTCCGGCTTCGGCGACGTGTCTGCTTCTTCATCTAGCACACGGTGAAGTAGCACCTCCAAACCATGAGAGAAATACTCCAGGCCTTCGTATTGCTGAGACAAGTTTGCCGCTTCGACCGTCATGTTGTTGCCAAGATAGAACCGTAGCACATCCGGTAGAACGAGGTGTGTCTGCAGAAAGAGGAGGCATTAGTAATGCCGCTGTTATAATAACTAGAATACTGTTGACTTACCCTGATTGCGAAGTGAAAAAAGGAAAAGTTCACATCGCGTCGCTGCACCAAGTCTGACTCTACACCAAGGACAATGCCCTTTTCCAGCAGGATAGACAATGGGTAAAAGTCAACGTCCACGGACACCGGCGCGGGCAACTCTCTCCCGCCGCCATCTCCACTCGCTGCTATCAAAAGCTCGTTGATATCGGCCCATGCTTTAATCTCCATGCCGTCAAAAAGCCACAGTGAATCGCGGAGAGCTGATGGTCCGAACCGCTGCTGAGTATCTTCCAGGGAGTGGCTGACGTTTAGAGGCGGCTGGTCTCGCATGCTCACGTGGTACTCTACGTTTTGTGCAATAATTCGCATGTCGTACTTGAGTGCGCCCTCTTCATTGAGTGACGGGCTCAGCAACACTAGCTTGCCGTCGACGAGGAAGAGCACAGACGCAACAGCCACGTCCTGGGAAGGATCTCCGTCGCTGAGCTGGTTGTCTGGCAAGATCCAGCTAAGTCCCCGGACCCTAGCAGGGGATCGTACAATCCCGTGAAATGCAATCTGGCCTACCTGGACGAGACGAACGGACCCGGTCGTCGGGACAAATATGTAGTGGTACAAGAGATTCTCGTAGGTATAGACAAGGAGGGAATCTTCGCCAGATGCTGTGATTAGAACCACGGGAGCAGGCAATCGCTCGGCGTGCAGGATATGGGAGTTGTCCAGCGCCGCCTCGCGTGAGTACAGCCGCAGCTCAAACGTCCGGTTATCTTCTATTGCGGCGACCAGTATATGCTGGTACCAACACATGCCTCCCCGGACCGCGAAGGCGTTTTCCATCGCCTCGTCGGTAAATGTCTTCCATCGCCCGCTGTTGACGCTGTAGTGGGCCAATCCCCGGCGACCGGCGACCGCAACATAGCGTCCATCTGGAGAAATGACGGTCTGACGGATGGGCCACTGGTTAAGGAGGTATGATGATGGGATTCTCGAGGTATGCCACAAAAAGGGCTCGGCCGAGATGCTGGTCAAGTCAGGGAGGTCATAGCCTCGGTATATCATGACACTAGTCGGCGTCTGTAGGACTGTGCGAAAGACATTGGCCTCGTTGTAACACCCAGTGATGGCGTTCTTTGCCATCTCAAGCGACCACACGGCTTCATGCCGTCGCCCTATCAGGAAAACCTCGGAACCGCCACTGGCCCAGACTGCGCCCTTGACCCCTAAAAGCCAGTGCTCGCCATTCAGAGTAGATATGCTAGGCTCCGCTCCAAAACTGTTGCTTCCAAGCTTGCCAAACATGCTCCACGTAGACCATCCTTTTTCGAAGCCCGCAAAGAGGCAGTATCCGTCGGGCGAGTACGCCAAGGTCGTAAAGGAACCGGCCGTTGACGTTGAGAAGGGCATGCGATGGGCATGGGAATACACAATGTTGCCCTCGTAATCCCTGACCGAGTATACATGGATTGCGCCATCCGAGCAGCCAACAGCGATGAGCGAAAATCGAGCATTGATGACTGCGCGTACGGCCTGCCCTCTCGAATCTTCGGGAGTGTGGAAGCAGTGCCCCTTGAAGAGTCGTTTTGCCTCGAGGCTGTCGGGGTCCTCTTCGGCTGTGGTTTTGCGTTGCTGGCGCTGAACGGCATATGCTCGCCCATCACTCGTGATCCAAGTGGTCAAATTCATCGGCCGGTCATGGGTCATTTCCACGATGGACGCCCTCTTCTCTACCCAGCCCATGCGGCTCAAAATCTCCGTCCTTGTTTGGTTTCCGCTGCTGTCGGGTGTCCAGCGAATGCATTGCACCGCCGCAGGTTTTCTTGTCGCAACAACCAGCTCATCGTCAAGGGCGAGAGCACTCTCTATGCCGGCGTCCACCTTGATAACCATGCGGAAGCGTACGCTGACATCGCGAACCCCGCCTCCCTCGCCCGGGCCCCAAAGGATCTGGTCGGGTCGCAAGTGGGATTGCGGGCCAATTAAGCTCTGTTTCCTCCTCTGTACGTTGTGGTAGTTTGCAAAATGTGGTTTATAGACTCTCGACTCGCCGTCGGTCGCTATGGAGTAAGTGATGAGGTATCCTTTGGAAGTATGCACCACGAGAATGGCGGAATCGGGGCGCAGCAGCAGGTCAACGTTGGTGCCGTAGGACTCCAAGGACGCTTCGGATCGAACAACTAAGGCGAGGACAACTGCGGGCTGCGGGAGGTTAGCCAATGAAGCCGGCCAAGTGATTCGGATGGCATCGGACATGCCTTGGTCTGCCAGAGCGTGATGGACGTTGCCGTGATGACGGCAAACATCTGGCCGGTGCGGGCAATGCGCAACGCAAGCACCGGGTCCTTGACGGGCACTTTTCCATCATCGGCGGCCTGGCTCTTGGTAGAAGCGCCGTCCGGGAAGAACTCGTAGCGCTCAACCGGTTTGACAGCCGGCGTTTTCGGCGTCATGGGGGTTGGAGGCGGCAGCGCATCGTCGGACTCGTCCTGCTGGGGCGCCGTGACGGGCCGCGCAAAGGGCTCGGGCTGGGGCGATGCTAGAGACGATCCCGAGTGGCTCTGCAGGCCATCGTAGGAAACGAAGATGTTGGCATCCGAAGCTCTGCTGCTGCTGGTGGCATGGACGCGCGGAGTTCCGATGGGCCAATACATGGCGGAAAGCCCAGTCTCGTCAGCTGTCGGGGGTTCACGCAGCGCAAATGCTCAGTCATTTCAGAGGCTGCTGGTTCATGACAGGGTTGCTGGGCTCATTGGCGCCAGATTGCTGCGATGCGGAGAGAATTGGATGGTGAGGCCATGGAGTTTTGGCATGGGCAAAGTTGCAGGGAGGTTCCGTCACATGGGGAGCTCGGGGCGGCTCATAGGTGTACGGGATCCCGTATGTTTAATCTGTGCGGGATCCCGTATAAATTACATAAGCAACGCAGCTTACGTTAACCACCTAGCCTAGGGCGTAATTAGCTATAATACTTAAATAGCTTAATTTAAGCTTTATACTTTATACTTAAAGATTATATATATTATTATAACGCTTAAATAGCTTAATTTAAGCTTTATGCTTTATAGCTTAAAGTGTAATTAATTTTAAAATAGTAAGTATTATAGTTATAGAAAAAAAGTAATAAAAAGTATTAAAACTTAAAACTACTTAATTAATTAAATTAATAGTAGACTAGCTGCTTATAGTATATATAAATAATTAATAAAAAACTTATTAAAGAATAAAGTTTTTAACTTTTTTTTAAGCTTTTATAGCTTAAAGCTAAAATTCTGCCTTAGTTATTTTAAAAGCTTT